TGAAATCTATAGAAAGATGGCTTTTTCTTCATATCCAAGTGAAATAATATTTGAAATTTTAGTTTTTTAATCTGTCATTCATGGCTTGACCAAGTAAAAAGGCTTATATTTTAAATGAATAGAAATAACTGGAATAGCTAACATCTACTAATAAAACAAATGGCTAGAGGTACGGATAGCTAGAGATTTAAACAAGATCTGCAAATGGATTATCATCCACCGTAAAGTCTGATCTACAAGCATCAGTTATACCCGACTTCTCAAAGCCTTTCCTTTATGTCATCTGGCCTTCCTTTTAAATATACAAAAAGTTCGTTGATCCAACGAGCGTGTACTTCACGGATCACTGTCAAGCGGGTATCAATTTTCACATTGTCTGATCAAACTCCTCTATTGAGCTGACACACTATGTTTTCATAATGTGAAACAACTCAGACTACCACCTACATGCTTAAAATTGAAAGCAAAATGACTGGAATAACAAGGAATAATAATGAACTAAGGCAAATATCTAACTGAAATTTTAATGGAAAATCGTTCATTTTTCGAAGAATTTGTGCCCAAATTTTCGGTCGCCCAAATGAGTTCAAATTTTCTGCCCAAATTTTTCGGGCTCCAATAAATTGTGCTCAATATAATGGCACACAAATTTTTGGGAACTAAGGTATGTCACTCACCTTGCCAATTTGAAAATCTCTGATCACCTCGATAATCTCGTCTTCATTAGTTTCTTCCAGGTATATGGGGTCAGATACTGAATTAGACATGATCTGAGCAAATAATTCTACTATTGTTCATTTAACACTTTATCTAACTTTATTATTTCTAGTTTTTTTACATTGATTACACTGTTCCCTTATTTTTCCTTATTTTTCCTTATCATTCGGCTGGGTTAATCGAAAGATTTCGATTGCTGTTTTCTTGATGAGTTATGCTGCAAAAATCTATTGAAAACCTTAGCTTACCCCCTTGACTAGGTGACACTTGGATTTGAGCATAGATTCTTAACTTAAGAAGGCGGAAGTTAAGTGGTAACTGATTGGTCACTTAGCCTTCATGATCTAAAGGTACTCCCATCCCCGGGGTTGGGGAAGGTTCCTTGAGAAACTTTCTAATCTTCATACACTCAGTATCCAACACTCTTGTTTACATCGTATCAGGCAATGGTTCAGTTTAATTATGGTAAGGGCACAGCCTGTCAAAAACCCTTTTCGCATGATTCGTCGACACCGCCTGAAGGTGAATGCATAATAACGGATCATGAACGTACGGAATCAAACGTTAATAAGCTTGCAGCTTCCGATGAAAATGTATTCAACTTTGTGTCATGCTTGAATTGGTTTTGGACCTCTTCAATGCTTTTAATTAATTTATTATTGTTATTTGGTATTATGAGCTGATATGTATATATACATACGGTATCTAAAATTAAGCGTATAGCGAGCATATTTAACAATTTTTAAGCAATAATGTATTGCGAGCAGCTGTAACTTAAATATCGCATAAAAATCATATAATTATAACACAAAACTAAAATTTTATTGGAATATAGGTTAAACTAAGATAAAATTAATATCAGCCCCTTCGCCACTCTCAGCAGTCAACCAGGGCTCATAAAAGCTTAACAGCGCCTGGGTCCGTTCACCAACTGTGCTAATGTGAGTGGCGGTGTGGTAAAACCCATTTTAACAGCGTGAATATTATTCAAATATAAGCGCACTAGCTGCTAGCATACTTGTATCATTTAATTTTTAATCAAATTTATTCGGATATATATTTATTGATTATGTATTGAATTGGTGATAAATAATAAAATTGTCTTTTCTCAAAAAATTGTCTTTTCTCAGTATTTAAAAGCTTATTTAGATTAACACTGATTCATTCAGGTACAACTTTAGAACTTATACTTAGTAACTTATATTTATAAATGGCGGATTCTTTCATAGTCGAACAAATTTGATCAGACAAAGATCGTGATATATTTTTGAAAGCCTAATTTTTAAAGTAATATGTAATTTTTGTTCTGATGATGCAAACCTAGTTTTGTTTTGTGGTCATAGTTCTCGAATACTGTGCTCTTAGGGACACCCTCTGGTCCCTCTTCATAAGCCATTTACAGATGTAGATAGCTATTGCATAGATATTACATTTAGCATATACATCTCCAAACCTTGGCTCCAAACCTTATTACTCAAAGTGAGCTAATCGGGCCCATCTGTCTAAATGAATCTTACCAAGGGCCAGGGTGTACTCAAAACGAATAACAGCTCAGCACTTTCCACAGAATGTCATCAGCAGAAGAATCTAAATCCCAAGACGTAGCTCTAGAACACGTTATAAAGAAGAGTGATACAGGATTAGTGTTTTACAGGTAACAAAAAGTTCCTTTTTCAATTGGAAAATTTGTTTTTAAATATCAGAGGGTTGTTTTTTTCTCCATAAAAATTTAAAATAAATCCCATAAGAGCTTTAAATAAATAAGTTCCAAGTATGTATATCTATCTAATATCTTATAACAGTGTATTCTTGCATTTATGTATAGTGCATGTTAAGACGAAGGACTAGGACACTCAGACAGTCATACATTGCAATTCCAGGAAGTGTACTGTAGATGGACAGTCCTACAATGTAAACAACACAGTGCTACTTCGTGATGAGGGACGCTACAAACTAGGATATTTGCTTAAAATATACTGTCGCACCAAGGTATCAGAATTAGAAATCAGTACATAAATCTAAATAAATTGTACTGACTCGAATTAAACCTATATGTTTCATTTCTTTTTATTGTAAAGATGTGTTTTTTTGTGAGCTAATTCTTGTGTTTTCAAAGATACAGGTCATAATGCATGTGGTAACACCAACAATCAAGACCTTGCTGAACCTAACCAACCTTGCAGGGTAACGAAAGAGCACTTGTAAGGTGGTTCTTCACTGATTCTGACTTTGGACAACATACCAAAGAACAACATTACTCCCATGAGATATTTGCTACAAGTTACACTGGCAAGGTACCACATGTTTTGTATGCACATAATATCATTCTTCATTTAATTATAATTTAAAAGTGATGTTATGTTAAGCCAAAGAATTGTTTTAGTTTTCGAATATCAGCAACATGATTATGTTACGAATTACTTTTCAGGTAGCGGTCTCATCCATTAGAAAACTTTTACATGTTATATGGGTCGCAAATAAAGACGAAATTCCTAACAGTGTCCCCAAGGATGTGTACTATGTATACAGGTACATGAGTTAACGTCCTCTAATCAATTCGATTCCTGTCTTTCATCCTTGAACTGTTTTTTGAATTTACGGATTACTGGATAATTAATTTGTTCGTTTCGTAATACTCCAGTCTTTGTAACCTGGTAACTAAACCTGGTAACCTGGTAACTAAACCTTTTTCATCCAGGTATTTTGATCACGACAAGCAAGCCCTGGTGTTGCACAGACAACAGCTTCTTCAGATCAGATACATGCCCAAACCCAGTCCCGACAGTGTTGGCAGTTCACTTTCTGTTAAAGAAAAGGCGGATGTTGACATCTCTACTATCAGTTTTACTCTGCCTTACATACAGAGTGGAGCCACGTTTTACAAGTTTGTTATTCATCATCATAGACATAAACAATTTGATTCTGTAACCAATAAGCATACAATATATAACACCCCATATTCAGTTTATGAACGTTTAGTTTATAAACTCATTGTGACTATATATTTGGAACTTCTGGATCATAATTACCCTTACTCTACTTTAATATGAAAACATCAGAAAATAGGAGTTTGAGTTACTCACACCTCTCCAATAGTCAGTATACTTGTATTTTAAACACTGACTTACAACTACAACAACATGAACACAACAAAATAGTGCTTGATATCAAGCCAATTAACTTATGGAGGACACATATTTCTTAATACATCTTCATCGTTTCTAGAGTGTGCACGATTGGAAAAGACAAGTACAAGATTGGTGACTGTGTCTTACTAGGAGACAGAGACGGAAGCTCAATTAGACGTATAATCAGCTTCTCCTATAATCATGAAAACCGCCCCATAGCCATGGGACAGTTCATTTACTATCAGAATGAGGTTTGATGAGTTCTCCGTCTTTTAGTGGATCATGATTGATTTTAAGTGACCCCCCTGGCCCCATCCCCCTGGCCCCTGGCCCTATTTCATCTGCTTTTATTGGCACGTTTGCGATCTTGACTACGGGAGAAAAATAAAACAACAGATCCATAATAAGATAATTTAGCTACATTCTGTCTTTACTCAGGTTACATTATCACCCGAAGAAAGGATGACGATGCACTTCCAAGAAGTTCTTGTCAGTAACTGGAAAAGAGAACTTCTCATTTCTAATGTCAAAAGAAAACTTATTGTCATACACCAGAACATTTTCCAACCAGTTCCTGAAAACGCTCTCAAGGCTGTGTATTTCTTAAAGAGATACTACGATCCATTTAAAAAGAAGGTACAAATATTGCGTTGTAATATTATTATTTGTTTTAGGGCATTTTCACTGAAATCCATCATGCGGTATACATAATTCTATAATCTAGATTCTATCAGTTCAATATTCAAGCTATTATGGTTTTTGTATACCTACTTTAAATAAATACACTTAGGAGTATTTGCTGGCAGGATTAATAAATTGATCACATTTCAGATATACCCGTTAGCAGAACCGCTAACTAGATCAGATTTCTCTATCGTGCCCGCTCCAATGGAGGAATGTGATTACAGAGCCACCCTAGTAGAGCCCTTCGAATCAGGAGCTGAACATCCTTACTTTCGGTTCGAGTTAAGAAAATATGTGATTTTATGTTTTAAATTATATTCATATTCATTACTATTGCAAGACCTGTGAATCAATATTATATTATATATTAATACGGTATTACATTTATTTATATAAATAAACTGCACTACCATGGCATTTGCATACCGTAACAAGTTCCTTATTTCAGTAAGTGTACACTTGGGGAGGATTGTTTCTCCGTCGGAGACTTTGTCACCCTGCAATCAGGAAGTGTTTGTGTGAAAGTACTGCGTTTATACCACGATGACAATTGACAGATATGCAGTTATGGATGTCAACAAGCTCTTTACTATCGTAATTTAAATAACATTATTGTAATTTGTAATGTAATGATCGATTCGTTCTTATATTAATTTGATTGTGCATAATACATGTATATTCCTTGAGCTGGTTATAAAACACGTACCACATTGTAGAACGGAACGTATTATATCAAACAATCACATACACATAATATTCCGTCAACAATAACCTCATTTCTTAATTAACCTCATTTCTTGATTAACCTCATTTCTTAATTAACCTCATTTCTTAATTAACCTCATTTCTTAATTAACCTCATTTCTTAATTACCCTCATTTCTTAATTAACCTCATTTCTTAATTAACCTCATTTCTTAATTAACCTCATTTCCTCCCCAGAGAAACGTACCCTCCACAGACCGCAGTCTCCTCTCGACCAGCCTGCTGTTCAGCAGTGAGGTGTACCACAAGGTACCCTGCAATCTCTTCTTTGAGAAGATCTGTGTCGTGTACAACTCCGCTGAAATTGCTAATGATGCTACTTTTATTGCGGGGGACTTCTTTGATGCAGAGACAAAGGAGTTGTATAAGCTGTGGAAACCTGCTAAGCTTTTAGGTGGGTCCGTTAACAGTGGGTGCTGATTACAATGAATATATTTGTAGAGACCGTAAAATGAACGTTCAAATTTTCTTTGTCAAACTCTAAAATTTATAGTTAATAATTTCTCTTATTAAATTAATATTATATAATTATCATTCAAGTTATGACGTCTCCTATCTTATTTTTATCTTAAATCTTAACCTCAGGCACAGAAGAAGTTCCAAAAGCAGGAATGTCGCTAAGAAAATTATATCAGCCTCGTGAGGAAGAAAACTCGGCCGACACTCTATCCTCATCTACTTCAAACTCGGAAAGTGAAGAGAAAGAGTACAGACCACCGTCTAAGAAGAAGAAAAGAAAATTGGAGAATGAAAGGAAAGAGAAGAAGTCGAAGAAAGCAGCCAAAAATGAAAACGAAGAGCGACCTAGACCCAAGAAACCTGAAAAGGAAGAACAGGTACCATATTATCGTCAATATTCGATAATGGTTATATAACTTTATAATCTTTATGATGTATTTTTAGTGCTTACATCTCTTTTGTTGTCCAATCTGAATGGTCGATCTTGCAACATACGACTCTTATTAACAATATGATATCGTAGGTTATCAAGTTCGTTAATGATATCAACGAACAAAAGCAAGAAAAAACAACAAAGAAGAGCGCTGGCGATATTCAGAGCAAAGTTGGAGATTTTTATTCAGATTTGGAGACAAAGGAAGTTGTACTTGGAGGTGTTGTTGGGGACATGGAGTACAGGTTTGTGTTTGTACAATCTCTGTTGGACCCCGAGAATTCGTATGATATCGTGAAATTTGTCGAAGAATTTAAACATTATCAAACATTAAGAAATATTAGGATGACGTCAAACATTAAGAAATATTAGGATGACTTCAAATATTCACTATTTCACTATTTACAGTTGGTTGTCTGTTGGGACTGCAAAAGCTGCTGTTGGAGACTGTGTGTTCGTGAGACTAACAGAAGGAATACAATTGGGAAGAATAATATCAATACACAAAGAACACAAGAACGGTACAGATCCTGTACGGCTGAAACTGTACAGGATCTACTTGGAGGAGGAGATGTTTGTCACCAAGCGGGAATCAGCGACAATCCATGTCAACGAGGCTTTTGCTACTGACTTTGTTATCCATGCTCTGGCGTGTCAGGTGGATGAAACTGTTGATGTGGTTTATTTGAAGAAGAAAGAGAAGATTCCTCCGCAGAATGAGATACCTAAAGGTTAGAAAGGTTAAAAATGATAGGAATGTTATACGAAATTTATTAGAAGGCCTTAGGTTAGGGAGGTTGCTTAAAAACTTTGGTCACCCCTGATTTCCCGGGGTTCGGCTGTCTATTGAAACCCAGCATTCCTTGTCTTATAAGTGAACAGTAGCGTAGATCTTGTCAGGTATTGCGAGGTTTTAACTAATACATTATTATTATATATTATAAGTATATTAATTACAGGACGGTTGTTTATTAGGCGGTATTACCACCCACTAAGACATTTGCTACGATCCCTCGCGGAACCTCTAGACTCAGCAGATCTCTCCATCATACCTCAACCCCATCCTCCTATAAATGGTCATAACGAGGAAGATATGAACCTCAACAGGAAACCATGCATTCCTGATGGTTGGAGTGGCACAGTTAGGTATTCAGATCATGAGAAGGAATCTGACTCAAGAGATGTGGTTGCGACATCAGAGGTTTCTACATCGGAACTAATTCAGAGTTCCGCGAATGAAAGTGGATCTGAGAGTGAGAAGGTTACAGTTGCGGTGCTGGAGCCCAAATCAGTTTTATCACAACCATCAGATTCTACCGAACTGCCTTTCTCTGGACTTTCAGATCTTGCTGAACAATCATCAAGTGATCCGGCAGTAAATGCTACAAGTGTAGTGGATGATACTGAACCCACGACTAACATCACCATCTCAATTGTCTCCGAATCTGACATTAACAGCGAAACCTCAATGATGATTCTTCCCAGTAACATGATAAGTTTCACGGTATCAAATGATCAGGCTGTTCAACAAAATTCTGATCAGCAAACCATACAAATTGTGCCTAGCACAACCACTAATCAGCAAACAATACAGATTGTGCCTAGCATTGCTGGTGAACCGAATGTTATCAGTTCAAATCAGCCAGAAACAACACCTGCCACAGACCAAAAGTCTGTAGCCATCGTTCCTTCCAGTCAGCTCAATACAATTGAGATAGTTCCTCAGGCTATGTCGGGAACTAACCAGATTCAAATTATGACCGGTGATTCGAATCAAGTTCAAGTCATTGATAGCAGCTCAATACAGGTACTTAAAATAATCTTTACCAGTTGCAATTTGCATATTATGTTCTCATGATGGAAGCCACTATAAATGTGAATTTGATCTGTCACATGTAGGTATATTATAAATCAGAGAGTTTCGTCCTAACACCCACACCTCCTCAGATAGTACCCAGTACAGACACCACCTCCTCCTCCTCCTCCCCGTTCCTCCCCACCATCATCAGTTCAGAACAAGACATGCACACAGACATGGATGTGGATATCACACACGCTGCTGATGGCTGTATCACCATAGCACCTGTTACAACAAAACGAAACAACACAGCCAAGTTCGAGGATTCCTATACTAAGAATGGGCGGGTGTATTTCAGGAAGTGCCACTTTAAAGACGAGACTATTGTTCAAGGGGAGGCTGTTTATGTGAGATGTAATGACCAGAACCCCAACAGCGAGGACGAATCTTGGAAATTAGGTCGGTCAATAAAAGTATTCTTATGTTGCTATTTTTAGTTTTCCAATACTTGTTTATTATGCGGAGAAAGATGTAGCTTCCCCGATAATGACAGTATTAAACATTTAACAGTTTTATAACTACATACTATATTTCTGCATTTGTGTAATTGTGTTATACAGCTTACTTACCACGTGTTATGACGTCACACCACGTGTTGTGACGTCAGACCACGTGTTGTGACGTCACTTACCCCGCCTTATTAGGTCGAGTTATGGAGTTCTACCACGCCTCCTATCCTGTTGTGCGACTACTTTGGTTCTACGTAGAGGAGGAGATGGTGACCAGTAAAAACGAACGAGCTAGTATACACCCTCAAGAGGTGTTTGCTTCCCAGTGTGATGACGAGGTAATTGCTAATTGCTTGTTAATTAATTAAATAATAACTTATTAGCCTTGATCTTGCTCCTTATTATAATAGTTAATATACAAATGATGAATTTTTGTAAGTTACTCATTATTTTGCCCACTTTTAACACTTTTAACATACTGTCGCGGTTTAGATAGTTTTCGGATCAGAAATTCAAAATTTATATTTGTCATTTCTAGATATTTTCTAGACGGAAAACTAGTTAAGATATTGGTTGATGATTCTTAATTGTAAATCCATTAAATATATTTCAGGTTGAAATATCATCGATCGAAAGTAAAGCAAATGTAATATACTTGAAGAAAGGAGAGACGATTCCCAAAGTTAGTCCTGAGACAAACCTTTTCTGCAGACGTTTCTATGATCCTTACAAGTAAGCACGGGTCACATTTTCACTGTTCACGATAAAAACTCGATAAAAACACGATAAAAACTCTCTGGGGATTGTAAATTCCTAGAAATAGCTGAATCATGTACACACAGTTAACTTGCATTTTTGCTAAGACCTGGTTTGCTTATAAATACCTATACTACACTTCAATTGATACGCCATAGATAACAAATACCTTAACATTTCAGCATTCTTGTTTCAAAACATATCAAGTTTAAGAATTAAATCTTCCCACCAGGCACAGTATAAAAGCATTGAAGAACAGACTGTCAGCTACCGACGTATCAATACTCCCAGAACCTATGGTAGCAACTAAACGAGGTCGTTCTAGCACTACTTCCACTCCTCTGGTGAGTCATACTTACTTGTACTTGAAAAGGTCTCCTCCTAGTCGTTGGAGTGGCCTGCACCACATAGTAACTCCTTTCTCCGATGTATTAGACCTCTCCTTCTATCTATCATTAGGATAATATTTTACTCGACTACTCTTACAGTCTGCTTACCGTAGCGTACAATGTTTGTTTTTTGTGTGATTTGGCAATTGTGATATGCTCAAATTGAATATTCGTAACTACGGTTGTACAGGTACCGCCTTTGATCTGTAAATACAATTTCCTTCATTGTATTATGTTCTTAGCAGTGCAGTTCACAGATAAAATTACTTACTCTGAAATTTAGTCAGTATTTGACAAAATTATCATCCTTCGAAACGAAACACAATATTTACTAACCCCGCTCGTATGCGACAAAGATATATTGCATAAAATATACGGGTATTTGCCTCACAGAATGGCCAAAAAAAAGGAAGGTCTCTCAAAGTTACAAAACACACTTTATTCCAGTTTTTATCTCATAAGAAGCTAAGTTGACACTCATATTTTTCTTCCCGGGGGTTCATTTAATCTCATAACCATTTTTTCTTTGAGAAAAATTGGCCGGAAAATCTTCCTCCAAAAAAACATGCCTCACAGAATGGCCAAATCTTAATTTCTATAATTTTGTTGATGGAGATACTTTTTAAATTTCTATCACCACACGTTCTTAGAAAACCTATTAAGGAATGGGGTAATAACCTAAAACTCACGAAAAAACTGAGCTGTGAAAAATTATTTCACAAAAAAGAAAAAATGCCTGACAAAATGGCAAAAAAAAAAAGAAAACGAGAAAATTTTATTTTTCTAAAACCTTTGGCTCTTGTTTCAGGCATGCTGCTGGTATTAATATGCCTTGTTAACACCCCCATATAGGTGAAATTTCTTAGAACTGAATAAAAAGGGCATAATTTCCTACACCAAAAATGGCCATTTTGTGTGGCGTTGTTCATATTCCCTGATTTCATGATTTATAACCTTCATTCGGCTGTAAAAACACTCCATCAGATGGAGTGTTTTTACAGCCGAATGAAGGTCAAAATATGCCTCACAAAATTTGTTTTCAAATTTTTGAACTAAGTTTGCATTTTGGTGAGAACTTCTGGCACCAGTATGACAGAAGATGTTTAAAGAATAGTATTCATCAAACAAAACGAACATTGTTCAATTTAGGAAGAAACAAAATGTTAAAATGGCTAAACGCCTCACAAAATGGCCAAAATATGCCTCACAAAATGGCCAAAATTTAAAACTCCTTTTATTCAATGAAACCATAAGTCTAAAGTATTCACAAGCTATTTATCATACAATAACACCCCAGATGGAGTCCATCTGGGGTGTTATTGTATGATAAATAGCTTGTGAATACTTTAGACTTATGGTTTCATTGAATAAAAGGAGTTTTAAATTTTGGCCATTTTGTGAGGCATATTTTGGCCATTTTGTGAGGCGTTTAGCCATTTTAACATTTTGTTTCTTCCTAAATTGAACAATGTTCGTTTTGTTTGATGAATACTATTCTTTAAACATCTTCTGTCATACTGGTGCCAGAAGTTCTCACCAAAATGCAAACTTAGTTCAAAAATTTGAAAACAAATTTTGTGAGGCATATTTTGACCATTTTGTGAGGCGTGTAGCCATTTTAGCATTTTTTTCTTCCTATATTGAACAATGTTCGTTTTGTTTGATGAATACTATTCTTTGAACATCTTCTGTCATACTGGTGCCAGAAGTTCTCACCAAAATGTAAACTTAGTTCAAAAATTTGAAAACAAATTTTTCAGTGCTCAAAATTTCTACATAAACATTCATATTTATGCCAGAAAATGTGGTCCTAGTTAATGATTTCACCACAGGAAGTGTTGCCAGAAGACTTTTGTTTCATATGGTATCCACAAAACCTACCAGTCTTTTATAAAAAATTAGTTACAAAAACATTTACAAATTTGGCCATTCTGTGAGGCTAGCCATTCTGTGAGGCATTTACCCGTACCTAAATAATTTATAGTCTCGAAATTACTTACAATATTTCAGGAGGCTACAACTCCAAACACCAAAAGGAAGAAAACGTCACCTTCAAAACAGGGTGCAACTCCTAGGAAACAGTCCCCCAGAAAAATTCAGACCGCTAAAACACCTCTTCAGACCGCTAAAACACCTCTTCAGACCGCTGAAACACCTTTTCAGACCGCTAACCCTCCCCGCCAGATGCCGTTTTTCTCACCCCAAGTCAAGAACAAAGTGACAGAAAGCCTTGTTTGTGAGCCAGATAAAGCAACTGAGACGAGCAATACAGCTGATAACAAAGACAAACCTAGGTTGTTCTTTGCTTCTACAGAAGAAACAGTCGAGGGATCGAAAAATGATGAAGCTGTCTCGAATAAGGTAGAGATGGGGCTTGAAGTACCGATAGTTAGTTCAGTGATCGAAAAATCAGATTCTACTGAATCTATGATTTCAATTATTCAAGCTGAATCTACCATTCCGACTATTCAAGCTGAATCTACGAATCCAACTATTCAAGCCGAATCTACGAATCCAACTATTCAAGCCGAATCTACCATTCCGACTATTCAAGCTGAATCTACGAATCCAACAATTCAAGCTGAACCTACCATTCCAACTATTCAAGCTGAATCTACCATTCCAACTATTCAAGCTGAATCTACGAATCCAACAATTCAAGCTGAACCTACCATTCCAACTATTCAAGCTGAATCTACGAATCCAATTATTCAAGCTGAATCTACCATTCCAACTATTCAAGCTGAATCTACCATTCCAACTATTCAAGCCGAATCTACCATTCCAACTATTCAAGCTGAATCTACAATTCAAATCATTCCTGCCGATATCCCCGACCATTCTAAAATAGCTGCTAAAGATAACGATCATTATGATATAGTTGCCTTAGACATCCCTGTGGTCCCAGAAAAGCCAAGCGAAGAATTGAAAGAATGTGATAGTGTTACGGAAAAGGTTGAAATTGAAGTCAGCTCAGTCATCCAGCTGTCAGCTGATTTAACAGAAAACCCTCAAAACATTGACCCAGAGCAGACAACATTGTCATCTTCCCACGAGCAGCCACTAGCCATGTTATCGGACCCTCCATCAGTTCAGAATCAATTCAGTCTTGAGGAAATGGGATCAGAAACAGGAACAACAGAAACAGAAACAGAAACAGAAACTCCTGAAACAGAAACAGAAACAGAAACTCCTGAAACTAAACTAGTCCAACTTCCCTCCTCAAACACTGAGCTTTACGATTCGAAAGAGGTGGAACATGCTGATGAAATAGTGCAGGTCGTACCTCAAATTAAAAACGCTGAGTCATTCGTAACGAAGCAAGTCGTATCTCAAACCTCAAACACAGAACTCCATGAAGTAAAGAATGCAGTGGATCCTGCAAGCGTAGAAAATGTTGAAAAGGAAAATGTAGACTCAGATTCTTGTGTCACGTTGTGACATGATGGACACGGCCTGGTCACCATTTCTCATTCTTAATATCTGTCAGAACATAGATCTTTTACTATTGAATTTGCTCTTTAATCTACAGCTCAGCGCTTGTTTATTTTTTAGAATTTTTAGTTTCTCTAAATTTGCGTGATGTGTGAACTTGGAGGAAGATTGAGATGCTGATTGTAGGTGATAATACCACCTACTCATTGCTATGGCCGTTGAAATTATTTGAATACCCAACTTTCAAGACATTTGGACGAATCAGAAATAGCTATTTATACTTCATAGACTTGAAATTAATTTATATTTGAAGAAACAATTAATGTTTTAGCCATTTGAGCTGAAGTTTTGTTGTTCTAGTTGATAGCTATTAATATGATACGAATAGAACGAAATCAGGGTTCAAATTGTTTGCATGGTGGTTTACGTTCGTTATTATTGTTAGTCTGCAAAATGTTAGTGAATTGCTTTCATTGACAAGTTGTTTTTTATTCAAAAGACTACATTCTTTACATTGCAGCTTGGTGCTTTTATTTATCAGCGATGTAAATTTTACATAACTTTTACATTCTGTACCATTATAAGCTTTAATTTAAGTTATTGAGTTCCCAGAGTTTCTCTTAAATTTCCCATCCTGTCTAACTAATTTTGTTCATTGATCAATGCAGACTGCTAAAGTATGAATGATTGATGAATAATATATTTACTATTTAGTCAACATCTTGAATACAATTACATGATCCATTAAACATATCTTGTTGATTATAACTACAAACAGACTCAATTACTAAATACAAATTCTGTTTAGAACCATGAAGGTACCGTTTTTGTTATCCGATTTGAGAAGATGGATGGGGACGTCTGAGACAAACGTGTCCAAGGTAGCTGGTATTCTCACAATGACTGGAGCTGTACTTTTGTTTTGGTCAGACAGACGTGAACGTGTAAGTTTATTATTAGCTTACTATAAGTAAGTTAGTAATTAATTAATTAGTTAGGTTGTTGTTGTCATGTGTGATTTTAGTAGTAATTAGAAATTATACCTATATATACTACCTAGCTGTACAGTAGTGTCTATTAACAAGCTTATAATGTGTCTCAGAGGCAACATATTATAGGTGCGGTAATATTTTGCAAATAAGTGCGATTCCGCACATACCTTAAACTTTTTATATTATGTGTGGCATATTTGGAGACAGTAAACACCGCCAAATTTTCAGCTTTTAAAAATAAAATAAAAATTTTCAGCCTTAAGGTACTCTTAGTTGGATTATTCGACAGCGTAGTATATAACGTTGCCGCACACGATTCATGAGTTTTACACAACAAATAACTTGCAAGGGTAATGTCTTACACTGAGATGTATAATTCTAGAATTATCCTCGAATAGAAGTTTTTGCAATTAATTTTCACAATAAGATGGGCAGGATGACTGGGGCTAATTAGTGACGTCACACCACGTGTTGTGACGTCACTTACCCCGCCTTATGACGTCACACCACGTGTTGTGACGTCACACCACGTGTTGTGACGTCACACCACGTGTTGTGACGTCACACCACGTGTTGTGACGTCACTTACCCCGCCTTATGACGTCACACCACGTGTTGTGACGTCACACCACGTGTTGTGACGTCACACCACGTGTTGTGACGTCACACCACGTGTTGTGACGTCACTAAGATGGGCAGGATTACTGGGCTTATTGCTGTTGATGAGCATATTATTGAGGCACAGTGTTCAATATTGTAACTTTACAACATGGTCTAACTATAGCTTTAACTATAATATATTTGTCTCAATTTTGATCTGTTGAGGGATTAATTAATAACGAACGATGGTGCGGTAAAGTGCGGTATTGGGTGTTTATATTGCCTCTGAGTTGTGTCTGAAATTATGATATCATTTTTTTTGGCAGGTTTAAATCATAACTTAAAATACTTTCCAGAAAAAGTATGCAGCTGATGTAAGGGAGTGTATTACCAGTATTCAAAAAGAAAAGAGTCGGATACAAGCCATTCTGGAGGCTCAACCTCAAATACAAGCCATTCTGGAGGCTCAACCTCAAATACAAGCCATTCTGGAGGCTCAACCTCAAATGCAACAGGATCAGATGGATCACGATTGAAGAAAAACAGAGGTGTTGACAGAATAGTCACTTCCATAAGAATATGAAGATGAAGTGGATTATTGATATAAGAGCCGTTTAATTCTGGCATAAATTGGAAGTTTGAATAAAGTTTCGAAGTGTGTCTTTCAGAGCTGCATAGTATTTTTCATTCTTGGCTTTGCTTCATGCAATCCACGTGTTTAAATAAATAAGGTCGGACTATTGGAGCACATGATTGGAGGTTAATGGTTCTTCTTATATATATTATATATAATGTATTATATATATTATATATAAGTCGAACAAATTGAAACAATCAAAATGGCGGGCAAACGATCCGTTTCATGATATGTAGTATGTACAAAACAATACCAATCCTCAGTGCCAAATTAGAATAATGAATGTTGGTATATTATTATTTATATATATATATATAATTATATACATAATACATATTAGTTCTTACCATCCAAATCTGTTTAAATCTACCCTTGAGTAAAATCATATTTCTTTAAGAGTCTATATTAACTGATTATGATACTGAAAACTCTGATTTTTTTTTTTATTTGAAAATTCAATTAATCATTATATATATATAAATCAAGCGTTACATTTCAGCCATGCAAAATTACAATGACATATTTTGATATACAAATTGATAAATGGTACTGCAATATAAGTTGCTTAATGTTTGGCCGGATGACAACTAACGAGAAAAATAAACTTGATTACACATAATAATTAATTCGGCTGAACCAACACATAGCTAGAGCCACATTAACGTTGGGGCCGTCAAAATTAAATTTTAATTTGTATAATTAAGATCTGCAGCCGAATATTTTAATATAGAGTCCAATAACAGTTATTAAATTTAAAAGATATCCAGTTATTAATAGTCCTATCCCAGCAATCGTGTACGGTTCGAAATGTCAGTAATTCTCAGGACATGCTTATCGTTATTCATCTAGAACAATAAGCGAAGGTCCCTGTCTGTGCCATTTCATCACATGTTTTGAGTTTCTACCATGTCGTTGACAGTCGTGTTTTGAGTCCGGCAGATTTTCCTGTTCCATTTTCTTGAATCAGGAGTAAAAGCTAGGTAGATGGCTGGATTTAGTGTTGAAAGAAAGCAAGGAACCATAGCTGTGTTAAGGAAAGTGAACCAAAAAAACCAGTGCATTGGTCCATCAATCAGAGCAATCATACTCTCTTCCCAAACTTCCGTTCCTAAATCTTCAGAATCTTTATGAGGTGTAGCAGCTGAAACATATGCTTTAATGACGATTACAATTATGTTTGCAACGCTCCCAAAATTGGTTATCATTATTTTTAAACTCCCGTTAACACTGTTCCTCCTTGCAATATCTGTCATTGGTTTTCTGTACACTTTCACCAGCTCCCAAATAGTGAGAAAAGACGTGAAAACTGCAAAAAGCTGCACTAATGCTACGAAAAAAATAAAGATAAGATAGAGCACTAAACTTGAAAATGTATACAGTCCGAAAAAAGAAGGTTTTAAATTCCAAGATGATTGCAACATGGGCATATTCAATACTATTGGATTGTTTTCATCTCCTTTCCTGAAAAACAGAACGAAAACCAGGCAAATATGAAGCACGGCCAAGATCAAAATCCCAAAAACACTCTTTCCATTGATCTTCCCAAGTGGATATTTGATCTGTAAAAACCGAGTAATGGCCAGTAGTCCGGTCAAATAACAAGGCAAGAGTGTGAAGATAAATCTTATAGCTGCCCGGACCCTACCTACCACGCCTGCCTCACTGAAGGTAGCCTTGTAGTGCTCCTCGCAGAATTCCTTTGTAAGATTTCTCCTGATGCATCCAGGGATATCCTTCCTTGCGAGTCCTCCTACGCTGTAATCAATGGGGATATAAACACAAGCAAGTAGGTCGAACACAGCTAGGAGTAGGAATAGGTTCCTGGGTAGGGAGGGTGTCTTGAGAAGGTTGTGTCTGATAACTAGAGAGTTTAGGGGGGTTGAGATAAGGGTTAGGGCCAGGAGAGAGAGGCATATGTAGAGGTCTGGGTAGCTTGTTCCGCCATTGCTGATGATTGCCATGTCTGGGGAAGGTAGTATGGAATAGTTACATTTGTAAACAGCTTAATAATGCATCAGAAACAAACAGAAATGAACCTTGGTCGAGTTGGGAATAGATTTAAGGTGTTTTTTAATCAGTTGCACACCGCACATGTGTTACCAATTATAACTCCTCAACGTAAGTTAAGGTTAGTGGCTCCAGACATAATTGGTGCACACGTGAATATATGATTTAAAAATTACTGCCCAGAGCACATGACGTGTTCCATGTGATTACGCGGACGTCGTTCTACATATAACAGCTGCGTTGCTACTTTGCAGCTGAAGCCTGAAATAAGTAAATTGCGACGAAATTTAACGTGGTGATGTTGCCTCAGATAATTACCGAACAACTCTTTCAAGTAGAACACCGGCGTAACTTGTATAATATCATCCAACTCAGTTTTACCACCTGCTATTGGGAGCTCTTACAGGTGCAGGAACTTAGTAATTATTTTGCTCAGATAAGATAAGTTAATTTCTCAAATCAGGACTTAAGTGTTGATTGTAATAATGATTGGATAGAGCAGGATCACCAATTAACCCATACATCATCCATGTTATCATGTCACCATGTCAGCTGTTTAAGGTTGGATTTTTCAGTGCAACCTTTCTATGAGAGCTCGAATATTGTAACTATAGAAATCTAAGGGATCTAATTCTAGGTATAGTAATTCCCCGAGAAAATGGCCGCGGTAAATCGGGGTTTTAATTGTTCATTATGTATGTTAGCCCTATTTGGGGAATGGAACTATGGAAATGGCCGCGGTAAAACGGGGTTTGAGGTAAATCAGGGCACGGTAAATCGAGGTTTTACTGTATTATAAGTAGTAGGTACGATTCCTATAACCAAATCCAGAAACTCGGTCTAGTTTGTCTTGAAGCAATGAACAGAAATATTGAAATGTATCATTTTGCTTTGTATGTAAATGCTTTTTATAATTTATTGATTTATAAAAAAGTGGATTCTTTTTATTTAATGTTGATTTCCAATGAACAGAAATATTGAAATGTATCATTTTACTCTGCATGTAAATGCTTTTTATAATTTATTGATTTATAAAAAAGTGGATTCTTTCTATTTAATGTTGATTTCCTTCAATTGTATACACACACATTCAAAATAACAAATGGCAGGCACTAATTACAGAATTTATATTATCATAGGTACCAGGAATGTCGAGAAAATGAATGGGAAGGAAAGAATGAAAGAGGACGTTATTTCAGATGATGACTTTGTGGACACCAGGAATGTCGTGAAAATGAATAGGAAGGAAAGAATGAAAGTGGAGGTTATTTCAGATGATGAAGTTAAAGATGAAGTTACTTTAATCAAAGAGATTATTTCAGATGATGAATTTGTGGACAACGATAAAGAAGGCAAAAAAACTGCCGAAACTTTAAGTGAAAATTTGCGCAGAGAACTGAAGAAAAAAAAGCGCTTCCGATCTCTCAGTACAGTTCCCACCAAAAATCTTGAATCAGAAGTAGAAAAAGAGTTGTCTTCAAAACGAAAGCACACTGTAAAACCTCAAAAAGCGATCAATCCTCTCAAAGAAATAACTTTGACAGATCCTGATACCTCAAGTTCTTTTTCACCAAGAAAAAGCGAAAGAATAGCAGCAAACGAATCTATTCTGGAGAAAAGCAGCATATATTTTAGTCCTGGTGAAACTGACCCAAGGGTGAAAGCAATTGCTGCAAGAACGAAAAGCGCATTGCTATCTTGTGATTCCGAGTTAAAGGAACGAGCATCCAAAGGAGGTATGGGTATAATGTTATGTGCTTTAAAAACGTTTTGCTTGAGCTGCGTTATATATTATCTGTCGTTCATATAATACTATGTTACAAGATATGATTCTTTTACATAGTCCTTTTGAATTGTCTTGCTTTATGATTGAAAATTTATAAGAATTTGGATGTTTTATTTAATTATGTTCAAGTATATAATATATTTATTCGTAGAATCATCTTTAGTGGGTTTTATTAAACCGTTAACCACTGCCACATCAATTTCAGAGAATTTCAAAAAATGGGATCGATTGTTCAATGTTTTCGGTTCAATGATAGAAGAGAGGGAGCTTACAACTGAGGATTGGGAGGATTCTGCCTTAGTCTGGAAATTCGATAAAAATGTCATGGATCCTCGACTGCTTGAAGACTCCTGTAGCGACTCCGGTGGGTGCAATTTGATTTCTGGCTTTACTTCAATACAACTACTAGTCCAAATTTTAATCATAGTACAGTGACAGCGTGTACATGACAGTGTGTACATGATGCAGTGACAGTATGTACATGCAGTGACAGTGTGTACATGACAGTGTGTACATGACAGTGTGTACATGCAGTGACAGGGTGTACATGACAGTGTGTACATGCAGTGACAGGGTGTACATGACAGTGTGTACATGCAGTGACAGGGTGTACATGACAGTGTGTACATGCAGTGACAGGGTGTACATGCGGCTTTTAAATTTTCTTAAACTTATTTCAACTTGCAGATGAAGAGTTTGAGATTGTCAATCCAGACGACAAATTCGAAAGATCTTCTAAAGAAGCCAATGGCAAAGAACTAGCAGACTTTATAACTGGTCAAAGCAATACGATAAAAAAGAAGCTGATCCAACCTCGTGAAACCAAGACCGCTGCTCACATTTCCGGTTCAATGTCGGCAGATATCTGCCAGGGAAAATTCTCTAACTACAAGAACACCATGACAGTAAAAGTGTTTGGATTGGACCTTAAGTTCAGTACAGAATATCTTGATATCCTGAAAGCCATGACAGGAGTTGACATGAGAAGAAGTGCCGTACCAGATACAGATCAATGTGGCTGAAACCGGTAGTTATCCTATTGTTTTACTGATTTAGCAGTCATTATTTATGGATTCCAGATTCCTTACAATTCGCAGTTGTGACTTATATTATCATATATAATGTAAAGTTTGCTGCCGTAATTTATTTTTGATGTGTTGTTTTTAGCAATTATATTATAATATGTAGTATATTATATTATGTAATATTATTTTGCATAATTACTTATGGTACCTACCCAGTTCCCAGTACCCAGTACCCACTTGAACAAAAAACTATGAACAGTGATGGATGAAATTTCAGTCGTATTATATGCTGAAATTTAATTATGAGAAACCTATGGTTATACGTATATATCTTCCTTGTATTTCTTCTTTGGGTTAACAATTTTCTCTTGCAGGTGTTTCCTCTACAGTTCAGATTCTGAACGACTCTGGCAAGGAACTGATAAACACAAGTAAACTGAACGACGTGTCACTAGTTAAACAGTCCACATCTTCAGAACTGAACACCACCATAAAGAGTAAACGTCTTTTGCGGATGCTTACACCAGCTAGGAGGAATCATAATGACTCTTCATTTCTTAACAACTCTAAGGTTGTTAAGAATGAAACTGAAGGATTTGCAAATCCCAAGTTAAATACCAGCACTGATTTTAACAGATCTAATAGGACTCCACTAAAAACAGAACCAAGTGATCTAAACCTTACCTTCAACCGAGATACAACCAACAATGTGTCTTTATCTCGAAAAAAGGCTTTTGTCATGAAAATGTTAACCCCTATTAAGCCTACTAAACGGGAGGGTTTATCAATTCAGAAGCCAACCAAATCAGAACCTCCTCCATACGCATGCTCTAGGAGTACAAACAGTAACTTACCTCTAAGAATGCCACCAGGTGTAGAACGGTGTAAATCATATCCTGACCTCTCTCGAGCTGGAATATCTCCACTTAAAAGAAATCACAATTCTACGTTAAATGTGACGCACGAGGGCTCACCTTCCAAACGAATAAGATTCCATGATGAGTCGATATTGTCTTCAACAAGAATTGACGAAACTGATTGGAAGCAAGATAAAATGAATGATCATTCTTACCCTGACGGATCAGTCGATCATAGCTCAAGAATTGAGCCCGTCAACCATCGTCTGTCAGTATACGGAGATCATGTGCAACACTGCAGTGGCCCATGTTGTCAGCCTCCTCACCATAGTAACCATAGTAACCAACAGTATAATGCCAGTAACTACAGTACCAATCAGCACCATCTCCACCAGGGTCCTTATCTACACCACCATCTCGATCCTTACAATGCCAATAACTATAGTATCAATCAGCAACACCATCAGCCTCATCACCCTCGACATTTTACTGTGACGTCATCAGAACACGTGACGTCATCAGAACACGTGACGCATTTACAACCGCATCAGCAACGCTCCCTACAGCACACACATCTTACACATCAACAACCCCTACAACATCATCAGCAGCTGCAACACCACCAACCCTACCAACACCACTTACCACACCACTTACCACACCACCCACACCACTCTTCTAACCAACAAAGTGGCATGATACACTCCCCACATCCACACTGTACTGGTGAGTGCTGCAGACCACACCCTCACATACCACACCCTCACATACCACACCCTCACAGCGTGCCCGGTACTTCAAATCACGGTACTCACCACAATAGTCATCCGCCTGTAAATGGACGGTGGTCGGAGAGACCTAACCAGATGCAGCGGCATCTTCAAGACTCTAAACATGAGAAAATGAACATTCCTGAATCGAAATACCTGGTAGCCAAAGACAGCTCCGGATGTGATAACACTGTCAAAATTCCACTTGTTACTGAGCTGTTAAAGGGACTGAACAGCAGCAAAAGAAAACTTAGGATAAAAGTAGATTATGATGTTAAATTGGCTGATAGTGACGATGATGATGATAAAGAAAACTCATACTAACGCTTGTATTTTTTAGCATTTAAGATTATACGGTTTGTGATGTATGTACAAGGTTGTAAAGATTAGTGTGGTAGTATAGTGACTTAAAATTGAAAATGCATATTCTCTAGGCTGCTCTCAAATAGGTTTAACGATATTTTCTGGACTGTTATTTGCTGAAGTAGATGACTCCGAAGTGGAGAGGCTTTGCAGCATCGAAGATCGTTATCTTTCAGTTAATTTTACATCAATTATAGGCTTTTTGTGTTTAATACATCAGAATTTGTACATGTTGAATTTTGTGTCATTTTTAACCAAATGCATTTGCTATCTGATTGTAAGTTTTGTCGCATTAGATATTAATTCATGAACTGGACATTTTATTTCTCAATGATATATCTACAGTGAATTGTACAACTCTTTTAACTTTTTTTTCATAAGAGTATTATCTAGTTGTAGACTGTAGTTATGATCAAGATGGAACTTTCAAGAGTAATACCCTAATTAGGAAATAAAAACAATATGTGAAGCAGTTCAGCAAATGCGCTTCAACCATACCATATAAGGTAACAAAATATGTATATTCAGCAGACATGTTTTGAAAAGGAAAGGATGTATGACGAAGGTTACCTGGAGTGACGTGTGGATAGAGTACAGCTATCCTATCGGCGTAGCTTCTCTTGCTGTTATCACTGTTTGCACTGCAGAGTACCTTAGAAGGGTAAGTCTGTGGTTTAGTCTGTGGTTTAGTCTGTGGTTAAGTCTGTGGTTTAGTCTGTGGTTTAGTCTGTGGTTTAGTCTGTGGTTTAGTCTGTGGTTTAATCTGTGGTTTAGTCTGTGGTTTAGTCTGTAGATTAGTCTGTAGATTAGTCTGTGGTTTAGTCTGTGGTTTAGTCTGTGGTTTAGTCTGTGGTTTAGTCTGTGGTTTAGTCTGTGGTTTAGTATGTGGTCTAGTCTGTGGTTTAGTCTGTGGTTTAGTATGTGGTCTAGTCTGTGGTTTAGTCTGTGGTTTAGTCTGTGGTTTAGTCTGTGGTTTAGTATGTGGTCTAGTCTGTGGTTTAGTCTGTGGTTTACTCTGTACTTTACTCTGTGGTTTACTTCAGCTGGAAGGTGCATATAAAGCTGTTATTGACAGTGATATGATCTTTATAAGTATGCAGTGCGTACTGTTATCTGCATTCAATTAACAGACCCACCAACAATACATGAGATTACAGGAAATTTACGATTGTATGGTCTAGATTTTAATTACATGTGGTTCGAGTTTCAAATATCGAATCCGACTGGATTTCTAAAACCTAATTAGCCGGTCGTGTTGCTCCATCGCAGTCCCAATCCTCCTCCTTGCACTAGCTGTCCTGTTCTCCAATATACCAGTTGTTATTTTGTGTCTGTTACCCTACCCTGGCCTCGTTTTTAAGAGTTCCTTGATGCTAAATTTTACTGGATGATGTAATGTGTAACATTTTATCTCAAGTCACTTCACATGTTCGGATTATTCGGATACGTTTGGATTGGATTTGAATTAACGATTAATCTATTTTAAAACCAATAACTGTGATTGCTTCCGCAACGTTTAGTTATAGCTGCTGATTTTTCATATTAACAATCTGCCTTTTGTCTGTTTACGTTGTATCAAGTCTGTTATTTCAGAATGTGAGAATGAGCGACCTAGAAGCAACGTTAACAACACTAAACAACACGATCAACAATACCATAACCGACTACACCCCCGTATTCGGTAACTTAGAGGAGAAAACTCAGCTGCTTCATGGAGATGTGATCCAGGTTCGTTTTGTCGGATATTTCTTGGCGGGATCATTTATCGTTACGTTAGTGTCTTTAATTAATGTAGCACTTGATTTATGTAACTAAAAGCGTGTCGAGTGATAATGATAAACTATAACGTATTAATTAACTAATTATGATGTTTGCAGGTACTGGGTAGAAGTTATGTGCTACCAGATGACCGAGCCATATTCGAGAGGGATGTCGAGAGTTTCCTCTGGTTCTCTTACAGGAGAAACTTCAGAGCTATTGGTCAGTAATCTTCATACCTCCATAGTGTGACGTGTGTGTGTATCGTATTATATGTTTTTTTTTCAAGGAAGCTACAATATCACCTGAACTGTCTGATTTTTTGTTTCACAAAATTCTGTTTTATAAATAATTTTCGGGTACATTTATGATTCTGGATTAACTGTCCAGTTCCTGATGTTTGAGGCTTTTACTTTCCAAGACCTCATTCTTGGTCGGCAATATTTCCCGCAATATTCCGTATCATTTCCAGACATGGTCCCCAACAACTTCCCAACCCCAGGTGGTACCGCATACACATCAGACAGAGGGTGGGGCTGCATGTTGCGGTGTATCCAGATGTTGTACTCCCATACCCTCATCAGACACAACTTCAGCCGGGACTGGAGGTGGACTAAATGTAGTACTTATAACAGCATTCTCAGAGACTTCCTGGATGATCCTAACGGACTTTACTCCATACAGCAGATAGGTTTGTTATTTGTATTTGTATTTGTTATTTGTATTTGTATTTGTTATTTGTATTTGACTTGTTAATGCTTATATGAACGTGTTGACTGTTTGCTATCATTTTCTATTTTTAACAGAATGTTGTGACTGTATTTGGCGTCGTTGTTGTTTGATTTAAATGACGTGTCACGTTCCACTGTAATATATATTATATAATACAATATTGTATAAAAGTATACATTATACAAAGTATATTCCTGTCAACAACATTACAAGAATTGTAAACTTGATCAGAGTCATTCTCTGTCATATATAACACTTGGTGTAAAAACGAAACGGCGGCTATCACACGGCAACCGGCTTGACTGGCCTATACGGGGCGCTCCCTGGTCAAAGGATAGGGCGACTAGAGCTAAAGGAACCTGTATTAAACAAGGTCTAAAACCTAATGGACTGCTCCCGATAAACGAGGAGTAAGGAACGATATATAACACTGTCATCACCACTATTTTAACAAAACATTTATGATCTAATCCACATCAGCTGCTCCGATTATCTGAATACCTTGAAATTCACCCCCACCCCCTGTAGCTGTGTTCAGTTGTGTGAATATTACAAATATTACAAATACTTCACATATTTTCAGCGAAGGCAGGCTGTTCCGCTGGAAAGGATGTTGGCACGTGGTTCGGACCTAACACTGCTGCCCAATCTATACGGATACTCACAGAGTTCCACAAGGAACTTAATCTTACTGTCCAAGTCGTCATGGACAATTTCATGTGCATTGAAGATATAAGTGAGTTTTGATGAAATGTTCATTGATAATCACTGTGATAGAAAGTAAAGTAACTAGGGATCGCTGTGTTGATAAAATCAAATCTTTATTTGCTGTTCCCCTATTGATAATCGCTGTGTTGATAAAATCAAACCTTTATTTACTGTTCCCCTATTGATGTGGATACTGGCGGGGAGGTGATAATTTTTTGTTTACATTAATAGTGAGCACATGTTCAGGAGGCTGAGGAGTCCCTTATTTTATTACCCCAAAATACCAGCTTTATGCCTAAACTTCTTTTTACTGGGCCCATCCATTTACCATGCGTTTTTGCATCAAGTGTTTAATCAATTGCTTTTAAGAGCTATATCTCATCTTAATATTAAAACTTTTCAGAGTTCTACTGTAAGGAAGTGAACTGGACGCCTCTCTTGTTGGTCATACCTCTCATCTTAATATTAAAACTTTTCAGAGTTCTACTGTAAGGAAGTGAACTGGACGCCTCTCTTACTGGTTATACCTCTCATCTTAATATTGCAACTTTTCAGAGTTCTACTGTAAGGAAGTGAACTGGACGCCTCTCTTGCTGGTTATACCTCTCATCTTAATATTAAAACTTTTCAGAGTTCTACTGTAAGGAAGTGAACTGGACGCCTCTCTTGCTGGTTATACCTCTCATCTTAATATTAAAACTTTTCAGAGTTCTACTGTAAGGAAGTGAACTGGACGCCTCTCTTACTGGTTATACCTCTCATCTTAATATTAAAACTTTTCAGAGTTCTACTGTAAGGAAGTGAACTGGACGCCTCTCTTGCTGGTTATACCTCTCATCTTAATATTAAAACTTTTCAGAGTTCTACTGTAAGGAAGTGAACTGGACGCCTCTCTTGCTGGTTATACCTCTCATCTTAATATTAAAACTTTTCAGAGTTCTACTGTAAGGAAGTGAACTGGACGCCTCTCTTGCTGGTTATACCTCTCATCTTAATATTAAAACTTTTCAGAGTTCTACTGTAAGGAAGTGAACTGGACGCCTCTCTTACTGGTTATACCTCTCATCTTAATATTAAAACTTTTCAGAGTTCTACTGTAAGGAAGTGAACTGGACGCCTCTCTTGCTGGTTATACCTCTCATCTTAATATTAAAACTTTTCAGAGTTCTACTGTAAGGAAGTGAACTGGACGCCTCTCTTGCTGGTTATACCTCTCATCTTAATATTAAAACTTTTCAGAGTTCTACTGTAAGGAAGTGAACTGGACGCCTCTCTTGCTGGTTATACCTCTCATCTTAATATTAAAACTTTTCAGAGTTCTACTGTAAGGAAGTGAACTGGACGCCTCTCTTGCTGGTTATACCTCTCATCTTAATATTAAAACTTTTCAGAGTTCTACTGTAAGGATGTGAACTGGACGCCTCTCTTGCTGGTTATACCTCTCATCTTAATATTAAAACTTTTCAGAGTTCTACTGTAAGGAAGTGAACTGGACGCCTCTCTTACTGGTTATACCTCTCATCTTAATATTAAAACTTTTCAGAGTTCTACTGTAAGGAAGTGAACTGGACGCCTCTCTTGCTGGTTATATCTCTCATCTTAATATTAAAACTTTTCAGAGTTCTACTGTAAGGAAGTGAACTGGACGCCTCTCTTGCTGGTTATACCTCTCATCTTAATATTAAAACTTTTCAGAGTTCTACTGTAAGGATGTGAACTGGACGCCTCTCTTGCTGGTTATACCTCTCATCTTAATATTGAAACTTTTCAGAGTTCTACTGTAAGGAAGTGAACTGGACGCCTCTCTTACTGGTTATACCTCTCATCTTAATATTAAAACTTTTCAGAGTTCTACTGTAAGGAAGTGAACTGGACGCCTCTCTTACTGGTTATACCTCTCATCTTAATATTAAAACTTTTCAGAGTTCTACTGTAAGGAAGTGAACTGGACGCCTCTCTTACTGGTTATACCTCTCATCTTAATATTAAAACTTTTCAGAGTTCTACTGTAAGGAAGTGAACTGGACGCCTCTCTTACTGGTTATACCTCTCAGATTAGGGCTAAGCGAATGTAATAATCTCTACATTGAGAACATTAAGGTTAGTGTACATTTGGAATCATACCCAATACGATTTTGATATGTTTAGGGTATGACATACATTTGATGTGATCCAACATTGGTTTGTTATCTGTAAGCACATCACATTTGATTTTCTTACTCACAAAACACTTCAGCACTGTTTTGAGATTGAGCAAAGTGTTGGAGCAGTGGGAGGGCGACCAAACTCGGCATTTTATTTCATAGGATGTCAGAACGACAAATTACTCTATCTTGACCCACATGTCACACAAGAATCTCTTAGCCCTGACGACATCGACCTTGAGAAGTAAGAGTGAAAGCCAAAATTAATTAGATTTCCTAATAGCTCTAGATTCTTTGATGATTTCGGGAATTCTGATCTTGCCCGATTTCACCATACCGTTATTACCGTCATGTCATTTAACACGAGTTTGTTTGCCTCTTCAACCAGTGGTGTAACGTTACTTTGTGCCGCCCCCCTGCTGATTGAAATTTGCCGCCCCTACCCGGAGCCGGAAAATTCGACAGGGCAGTACACCAATACGGCGCTTTTTCCGTGAAATCAGACCTACAATCCAGGAAAATGTCGCCCCCCTAAGGTGCCACCCCCCTGCTAGCAGGGGTAGCGGGGGCGGTCGTTACGCCACTGTCTTCAACCCCATTATCTCCTACAGTATACCGGATGAGACCTACCACACGACTAAAGTTGACTTGTTACCGTGGGACCAGCTAGACCCAAGTATTGCTGTGGCCTTCTACTGCAAAACTGAGGAATCGTTCGACGACCTTTGCCAGCAACTCCAGGAGGTTGTTGTTATTTTTCTTGAAAATTGTCTGCACGTTCAGTTGATTGAAAACTTTGAACCTCATCCACGGACGAACCACTGTTTGGATTTTGCAACAATAAAAGTCAACTTTACTTCTTGGGCGCGGGCCTAAATTGCATTATAACACCAGGATTTTCCCCGAATAACAACATTAAATCCACGCAGACAATAGCGGCGGGAAGTGGCGCACTGTTTGAAATGGTTGCAACTCGCCCCTCCTACATGACCCCGCCCCGGAGGACCCCAATCGACAAACTCCTCGAAAACTACACTGGTAACTATGAACTATTTACGTTTGGACCGTGTCACGGGTCCCTTTACAGGCAGTGTTTCGTAAGGCGGTCCCAGTGATAATCAGTATAAGCGTTACCCGCTTGTATTGGTTAGTGATGAAATTAAATTGAAAATTGCGCAAAGACGCGCATTTCAGGAGTTTACTGCGCGCTTTACTGTTTGCGTCAGATTATTCGCGCGTTTTTCGGCCTTTAATCAGTGGGTGGGGGTCAACAGGCAACGTTACGCCACTGGCTTGAATCACCAACCTTCACCTGTTGCTGATAATGGTCGGAGGGTGAAACTTTCAGTGTTACCATTTACCCTCTTTAACGATACGGCGCTGGCTTTGTAATACTAATATTGAACTCATCCCTTTCAGCTGAATATGACGAGGTAAACACAGAAGATGCAGCCAGTGACTCAGACGGGTTCGAGATCATTTCCAACTCATAATTTGGGAAACTGACACTAGATGATGTATCAAGACAGATTGCAAAGACTTTAAAGTCCTTGAAAGGGGGAAGGGGGGAGTTGTTGAGCTGGGTCACCCCCATCCCGGGACTGCAAAACCCAAATTTAATGATCATGAGTTTCAGGGATTTGTTTTGATTTACCCGTAGTTTCTGTTCCATGTGACAATAGTTAACTGTTGCGTAGCTATGAATATTTACCAGTATTACCATTAAGGGATCGCTCACATATCACACAAGATCGCTTTTTTGGCCGATTTTGAATCCCTCTCCTCCGCAATCAGTTTTACACATAAATTTCACTTGCGCAATCGTTTAGAGACCCCCTCCCGGCTCATGTTGTATTTGAACGATCCCTAACCAAATGTTTATGAATGAAATAATTTGTTGGATTTATAGTTACTTTTTTGTTCAGATGTTATATTCGTGTATTTGATTTGGTACGAAGGAAAACAAATCTTAATCACCTCTTTGGAATATAAATGAAAAGTCCGCAATTTGCACTAAAATATTTTACAAGTAATACATTTGCGGGCATCTCGACATTAAATTTTAAATACTAAAGACTATGTGAAGGTTTGGGGGACACTAAATTAAAATCTCGAACATCTAGCATGATAATGCTGAATCAGCGGTTTTTACTGCATATTCTCAAAAAGAATACATTCAAAAAGACTGAGCGGTCTTTGGAAATAGCCAGTATTATCCTGTCATCTTAATAATGAAGCCAATTTAAGCAACTTCAAAAAAAATGCATTAAAGTTTGTGCGGAAAAAGGCCACCCGGATAGAAAAAACATCGGGTATTAAGATGTTGATAAAGGGGTGAGTATGGTGGCCGGGTTGAGCTCATGCCCGATTCGGATCACGTGACGTTACTATCATTTATTATTAAATATTCAAAATTACTTTCCCCGACGAATTCATGTTATCAATTACAAAGACATTATAATAAAAGCAAACTAGAAATTTAGACAAATTTATCAACTCTATTTTCCGATATTTCTATCAGCCCAAAAATTCAAACAAGGCCTACTGTCTGTTCACTTCATACTCCTTTCTTGGTGGATAATACATTTCATTTGATTTGTTATTTTATAATTTATGGATAGCCTTGATTACTTGGGGGCGGATCCAGCGGGTGCTCCTCTACCTGCTGCCTCCTCTTCCCTCTTCTTACGGATTATGGCTAAACGGGCCAAGTCCTTATGGGCTTGGTCTGTCTTGCATTCCAATTGTAGGCGTTGATAGTTTTGCCTTGCTAACTCTTCCCTGCAAACAGAATGTGGTTTATCCATGAGATTCGGAACTCGAACTGAAATGCCTCAGCACTCAGGAAATTTATATACGCCACACAATTTATCAAAATCGCATATTAGTCAACGAAGAAAATGCGTAAAATCGAATAGCAATAGGACGTGTATTGCTTACTTTTGTCGTCTGGTTAACTGTGAGGATTCTCCGTCAACTTTTTCGGTTTTAACTTGCCCTTTACGAACATGATTAGGGTTCTGGACTTCTATCATTCCCTCCACACCCTTAGCCTTTCGATCCTTTTCGTCTTCCTCCTCCGATTCTTCCTGATAAATTGTAATCCTTAAGTTTTACAGCATAGCGACGATTAAATGGGTATAAAACAGGTCTTTTGAATCAATTAAGGAAAACAACATTTTTTGGTTTCAACTCGCCAACTGATACTGTGATACCTTAATTCCCAAAAATTTGGGCAACAAAAAATTTGAGCGGGCCTCTCGCCCAAATTTTTTGCAGACCAAATTAATTGCATAAATCTTTTCCGTCTGCTAAATTTTTTGCTAACCAAACTTTTGGCATTTGGCCTGTGGCCCTGAAATCTATAGAAAGATGGCTTTTTCTTCATATCCAAGTGAAATAATATTTGAAATTTTAGTTTTCTAATCTGTCATTCATGGCTTGACCAAGTAAAAAGGCTTATATTTTAAATGAATAGAAATAACTGGAATAGCTAGCAAATGACTGGAATAATAAGGAATAATAATGAACTAAGGCAAATATCTAACTGAAATTTTAGTGGAAAATCGTTCATTTTTCGAAGAATTTGTGCCCAAATTTTCGGTCGCCCAAATGAGTTCAAATTTTCTGCCCAAATTTTTCGGGCTCAAATAAATTGTGCTCAATATAATGGCACACAAATTTTTGGGAACTAAGGTAGCTCCAAGTAAATTCACTTTAAACTCGAAACAGTTAATTTTGAGTTGAAATTATAGAGTAACTAGAGACTAGAGAGCCTGTGGTCACAGGGAGGAAGCTAATGGAATTTCTTGATAGTTCATTATTATTGAATCATAAAATATCCATCCCGACCGAAGATAAAGCCGACGAAAATGTAACATGCACTGAAGTCTGAACACAACTTAATAACTACAAAACATATCGTAATCAAGTCCCAACCCCTGATTACGTAATATACGAACGACCCCCAAGGAAAAAAGGAATCTCCGAATTATAATACGTATTATGATTTCATAATCAAGAATTATAATACAGCAATTTATTTGCTAGATCAATCATTACGCGCGCAGTTAGACTTGATTGCGCGTCACACATGCGCCGACAAGTCATTGAACACGTACTAACCGAAAAGGTTTTCATAAGAGCATTCGTTTGTGTGACCGATTTTGGCAACATGTTACCGAATATAATAAATCTCACTAGATCGGAGAATGAAGATCCCTGCATAAATCCGACATGCACATTACATCAGCATTCAGCAATAGATGAAACTTCAAACTTACTTCTGATTCTTCAGATGACGACTCATCAGAAGGTGAATCGTACCCGCGTTCTGCTCTCTGAAAGGAGCTTATTATCAAATAATTTAATGGCAATTTGAAATTTAATAACAAAAATAACAAAGATAAATGACCCAATATCAACGGCATGGTATACGAAGGATGAATTACAACGAATACTACTAAATATGAATTAAAAAGTCCTGTAACCTTCCTCGCTTTTTCTTCGTCCTTCTTCCTATCTTCCTCCAATTCCTCTCGGCTTGTGAAATGTCTGCTGTGTCCTTTGTACTTTGGTCGTCCTCGGCCTCTGCCCATTGTGTCAAAACTTGCTACAGAAAATGAATAATTACCCTACAAGAACAAGATCAAAATATCGATAAAGTAAAAAGGACACAGCACACATCACCATTTATTGGTTCAAGTCGATAAAGAGAAATGTATTTAAAATGTACCTAAAAAGTGAGTATCTATTTCGTTTCAAATTTACTTTACAAAATCTTTGATACGATCATAATACAAATGCAATCTTTATATATTCCATTTAAGTGTCTGTATTGATTCTAAGTTCTTACTAAAACCCCGTTATGACAATTCAGATCAACAGAATAGCAGAACCTTTAATAAATTATTCCAACTTTCCAAACAAGATTGATCAATCTCTTCACTTACATATTGTCTTCATTATTAAGTTTAAACTGGTAAACTACAAACTAAGATCGACTTTTTCTCCAATTTCGTGCTCAGCAGGAACAGGTCGGCCCACTTCCCACGCTTTAGTGTATGTTGTGATAAAGACGGGCGCAGTGTGTCCGCCCCAAAACGGTCGTTTGAAACCGACCTCTTTTAAACGAGCCTCTTTCAGTTCTTCAACGGCTTCCATCTTCTTTTGCTGAAAAGTTAACCATATTTTAATTAGCATTCACAATTGTTGTTTGCTATTCCAAGTCTTGATTTTTAAAACAAAACCTTGATAGGATTGTTAAGAACAATTATTGTTTTGAACAGTTTTTTTTTCTTCCATGACCTAGATAGATCACAAATTACTTGACTTTCACGTGAATTTTACTAGAATTGGTAAAAACTTACGATCTTCTTCTGGAATATGCACTCCTTATAATCATCCCACCAGAACTGACAACTGTCCCGTACTTTATCAAGGTGCGTGTTCACTGAAATTATATAAATATTATGAATATTATAAACTCCAAAAATGATGAAACATCTCAAAAAACTTGTTGGATTGTACTCTCAATTGAAAATAAGTCATAAAAGAAGAGTGAAAGTGAAAGTGAAAGTAGGACCTACATGCGCACTTGTAGTAGCGTTCACGGAGAGGAACACAGCGAACAGAGGTTTCCTGGCTTGCGTCACACGGCACTCCATTAAACTTGTTAGCTCTTGTTGCCCCCATATCGGACATGTGACTCTCGTCCATGCCGTTCAACGACATCTTGATTCTCTGTTCACTTGCTAGATGAGGGTTTAAATCAGTAATACTTAGATTTTAGATCAAAACTCTTTTAAAACAGTGTTATACAGAATTAAAAATACACAACGAATATCGTATAAATTACTAAGTGAAGCCAAGATTAACATGCAAAACATAGCCCAAATGAATTAAAATCAGAAATGAAAAGAAAAATGGTGATTCAGATAAGGCACGTCAAAAGTAAAACATGATATTAGAATCGTTACCTCAATAAACATTGTACAAGAGAACATTATGAACGAGTGATACAAATGGTCTTCAATTTTTCAACAGAAACAAAACTGAACATCATATGACCGGGGGGTATGCAACGACCATTAATGACCATTAATGACCATTAATGACCATTAATGACAATGTCAGTTTTGTCAAAATTTCATCTACTGACATTAATGGTCATGTTTTTTCCGGCACTTCTTAGAGCGAAAAGGACGGACGCCTGCATCACTTAGACCCTACCGTAAGTTAACTAACTACAAGTATATGTTATTATTTTACATTTACAATTAGAGATTCGAAAGAGAAAACTTAGAATAGAATCTTCCGTGGTTAGGCAGACCTTCCAGAATATCACTTGAGTGGATTCTAGAGTGAGTTAGGGATTACATTTATTAAGTTCGAATGTAATGAAGAACAAATTTTGCGGCCACGGGATTTAAACCAGATAACAGTTGGTGACTTATAATAGTTATCAATAATAATAATTCAAAGGGCAATTTAGGAGTATCAGATCGTATCAATAGTAAAATAACAATCAATAATAAAATAATAATAACACGGGTATTAAAATTAAATACTTCGTTCCCGTTCTTATATCATATCAAGATTTATATTTTAGCCAAATCATTATGCTAGTCGATTATATAGTAATTACACAGTAGATGAACTTATTCAACTTTAGCACTTCATGAAATACATCGTCATCAGTCTGAATCGGACAACAAAAAAGCTGATCTTTTCCTAGGATTAGATAGAACAATTCGTTTACAGTTCAATACTCTGCCTTTGGCAGTTTAAAGTTTTGACCCAAAATCGAGCACTGTCATCATGATAGGGACAAATTGATGCGGCAGGAATTCGTCTAGATCTGAAGTTGCCCTTTTTTGAAGAAGAGACACTCATTGATAAGATGGTACCGAGGCAACGAAGGGGACGTTTAGCATTTTTTGGAACAAAGGTAGCACTTAATGAGTCGCCCTTTCGAATTGTTCGACGTTGACAGGGCTTAGAAGAATTTTTGCAGCCCGGTTGATATGGCACAGAACCCTCGAAACAGCCGGTACCAAAAAATTTCGATCTCCGACTTTTATTTCCAAATATCGTCTTACGATGGCATAGAAGGTACTGTGAGGAGGTATTGAAAATCCAAATTATCAAAAGCAATCAACACAAATAAAGGAAATCAATACAATTCAAATCCACGCAAACTGCAAACAAGCATGTATACTAAGTCAACTGCAAACAAGCATTTATACTAAGTCAACTGTAAACAAGCATTTATACTAAGTCAACTGCAAACAAGCATTTTATTTTATACTAAGTCAAATGCAAACAAGCAAACAGACAAGACAAGTTACCAACGTATAACAGAATGGTGCTTGGCACTCATTCCGAAACCGAGGTCCGAGCCTCTATTAGGCGAATATTAATTCGTTTTCTCAAACGAGACTCTGGCAATCGATGTAGGGGGCTGTGAGAAACTTTATAGAAGTGATACAAAGTGATCATAATTGTAAATTTCTTGGACATGTTGCTTCCAAGATAGTTCAGAATTTCAATTATTTAATGACCATTAATGACCATTAATGACCATTAATGACAATGTCAGTTTAGACAAAATTCCATCTACTGACATTAATGGTCGTTGCATACCCATGATTCATATCCGATCTATGATCCTCACTTTTTATTTCTGTAAACAGTTTCAGGAATAAGAACATGGGGTTTCTGTGCAGGAATAGCATTCTCCCACAACCTGTCATTAGCTTTAAACTGATCCCAATTGATATAGTACAATTTACCATCAATCCACTGTTTGTGATCTAGCTTTGTCATTAACTGAAGTGATGAAAGAGGAACAGTTTTATCCACGCGCCTGCCAAACATATTGAGATGAGATAAGGTAGCAGTTGTGTCCTGATTCAGGGATATCTTACCAATACACCTGGCGTTGTACCACATAGTTGCGGTAAAAAGTAGTGAGGAAAATATGAGAACAAACCCTAAAGACGGCACCATACCGTTAGAGCTGGTAAAGCATAATAACCCAGTTCCTGCCATTGAAGCATTAAGTAGCCACATCATGGGATACCGTGTTTTCATTCTGTTCATCATTTCTGGGTGGACTAGGCCCACGACGTTGTCATCAGCTACGATCGGATCGAAGGGATCTCGAGGAGTTTCACTCAGCTGTAATGTATGGGATGTATGGAATGTTCTAGATGACTGCTGAACGATTGTTCTGTGAGGATACTTGGAGATATTTACAGAAGATTGTAGAATCCTTGACAGTTGGTTGGAGGAATTGCGATGGTGGTATAAGAGTGATAGAGGTTTGGTGCAGCGAGAACATCGAGTAAGAGTTGAGGGTAAGGTAGTGTAACAAAACATACTTCTAACTCTAAAATGAGGGACAGGATTGTTAGTGGTTCAAATTAGTATGAAGAATAGATAAGGACATCATTATTCAAAGAATGATGCGCCAAAGTCTACATGATGATTAAGCTTAATAAAGGGTCACCCTATGAAGCTTGAAAGTGAGATAGGTTTCTGTAATAACACATTTCGTTTAATTTTTGGAGGAATACTCGGAATGAATAAATTAATATACACAAAGGTCACGGCAATAATTTAACAAATCCAATAAGTTATAACAATAAGTTATATAGTTAAAATAACTCTAACCCCACCCCATAAAAAGCTAAAATACGGTTAAAAAAACATTAAAAAGGGTCTTTCAAAGTGTGAATCTGAAATCATTTCACGCCGATAAATTTCCTAACTTAAAAATAACTTCAGCACCCATCGGGAAACATTAAATCATCACCTGTATCATCAACATCACCAGATAAATCAATCTCAATGCATTCTTTATTATCATGACCATTTTGTTCTGGGATCGTTCCATTCATCGTGATGGGTCTTGATTCCATACCAACCTTGTGTTTCGAATAAAGAGGTTTCATGGCTCGCTGTAAACTGTTAGCCAGATTTGGAAACAGGAGCTCCTGAAACAAATCAACTTCAACATCCAAATCGTCTCAAATGTCATATTATTGTCTCACTTACTATTTAGAAAATTAAAACGACATAATTGCACAATAACCATGATGTAAACGGTACAATCATAACAAACTTTATCAACTAAATCAAAGAACATTGAAAGCTTATTATATGCAATCTCCGTGCTAAATACCTGCTGTGCGAGAAGCTGCTTAACCCGGTGGCGCTCCTTAGGTTCCTCGAAACACGCCGGACAGTTCTCCGCGATCACGGGCAGATGTTTGGTCTCCGCGAAGGTGCGCAGATCCCGTTCTCTGACGTAAACCAGGGGACGTATGACGCGCAGGTCTCCTTCTGTTACCGTGTAGTTTGCTTTCATTGTCCTGGTGGGGTTACAGGTTATGGTCACAGTGGCATAAATTTAAAAAGTGACTGGGAATCCGGTCTGGAAAGAAAAACAAAGACTAGATATATATTTTAAAAACGACTATACGATAATACGATTTGATGATTTGAGATTTCATTAGTTTCAACCCTCAATTCCATACCATACTGTATCGTGCATCTTTGCTGATTTATTACCGAGGTATTATTAGTTATTCATAACTGCCAAAATGTGGAAATAAAATTGTCGTCAGCAGGCTCAGAAGTGAAGAGCAGCAGAATTAGAGCTAGAACCGACTACTAAGCTACTAAGCTACTAAGCTACTAAGCTACTAAGCTACTAACATGACGTGTAGTAAAGTAATATTTATATATTTATAATCGCATGGGACTTGTTTGCACGTTCCTGCCTAATTGCTCGACTAGAAAAAGTAGTGGACTAGAAAAGCAGTCTTAGATCCCCTGTAGATTCTTGAGAATGAAGAATTACCAGGAATATCTGTCGCGCATTTTTTGTCCCAGGAATCAACAAGAACTAGCTAGATCTCACATATGTAATGCGCTCGATTCGAACGTCTTAAGAACCCCCTGAGAGCGACTAATTTTAATTTAATTAAATATTTTTTGACAAAAATCATTCGGTGCTATGGAAATATTATGACTAGGAATTATATCTGAAATTCTCACTTTTAGCCACTGTGTTTATAACAGCACTTAAATATTGTAAAATATTACATCCAGGATAAAACAGTAATATTTATGGCAAAACTCATTCACCCCAAAATTGTAAACCGAAGGAAAACAAGTACCTTGACACCCCTCATTAAACATTCATACTAAACATTCTTACACTGTAATCGGATCTTAGTTAGTGTCTTAGATAGTTAAATAATATTCGCACCTGAGTAGTCCGTTGTGAAATATGGACATGAGGAAACCACGTCTAACCCTAAAGTGGTGTCAAGACTCGAGAGACTAAAATAATTATTACCTAAATAGTATTTAATTCGCGTTTTTGACACAACTTGGGAGTCCAAATTTTGGGCACTAAAATTATTATTCCTTGGCCAATTTTTATTTTTTCATGCTGATTTGAAGGCCATTAAAGCATTTGACCCAGTCAAAAAAGTTTCAGTTGTATATCTTTTACGGTTTTTGCGGAAAGTTGCGTTAAAGTTGATGCCGTGGTGTCAGTAAAATGGCACGGATCCATATTATTATAATATATCGTCTCGCTTATATATAGTTTGCATAAGAGCCGCACCTGAGTAGCCCGTTGTGAAATAAGGACATGAAGAAGCCTCTCGCAAAAGATCGTCAGGTGTTGTCCCATTGCTATCACGTTGTATCCATGTGCCCGTGGCAGCTGCGTATATCCGACCTCGCTTCATTCTACTGCACAACTGAAATTAAATAATTATATTTATCATGTTACTGGAATGTGCAATGAAACTAAAAATACTGTAAATTAAACGTACTGAAAAATAAGGAGCTGACTTAAGAAGAGTTGAAGTCTTCACCTTCTCCTTATCCAATCAGAGAATCAGGTTTTCATGTACCATAATAATATAGCTCGATTTTATCATTTAAAAACGAAAAGTTTTAAAAATTATACGAATGTTAGTGGTAACTAACTAACCTGCAGATACTAGAAACCTCCTCCATTTCCTCAGCTTGTTTCAAAATACCCTGCCTCTCGAACAGGTACGGTACACCGAGTTCCTTTAGGTAAGGAATCAGCGGGGCGGGGTTGAATGTTGGTGTCATGGGATCTACTGTTACAGCTCCAAGCTCAAATACTACACCTGGTTGGCGGAGTAGATAATTTAATAATGGTATTACTGACATGGTTTAAATTCTATTCTATTTAAAAAATACTTAGTCACTTACCGATCTGAATTTTTATTTAAATCAGATAAACCAGGATCGAAGAAATTAACATTTGGTATCAAAAAGTTATCAATTCCTTTCTTATCATACCTTTCTTTTTGGCGATGAACTGGAACTGTCTAAGGGCGTGAAGTAAGGAAAGTGAATCCTTGCCCCCCGACAAACACAACAGCACTTTATCACCATTTAATATCATCTGGTACTCCTCGATGGCTTTCATCATGGGTTTCAGGATGTTCTTGGTGGGGGCGTGCCACTTTGCTATCACTGGATCTAAATTGATACAATTACTTAAATAATGTATCGGGTTTAGAAACTGGTTATTTTGATTTTAACCGAACTGAAAATAACGCTTCAGTGTATTTCGCATTACAATTACCAGCTTTAGTCTTGGATATTACACTAATTTTTAATTGATAAAAAAAAAACAATCATGATTATAAAGTTGTTTATTCAAACCTTTTGGTTTGGAGGAAATGACAGGACATTTAGCTGTCCCGTTATCATTAGCAGGGGAGGGAGCATTGAATACAACGGATTCAGCTTGAGTGCCGTTCTTAGAATCTACCTCAAGTATCGTATGATCAGAAGTTTTGTTATGCAAACTTGAAGAGACAGACAAGATATCTTCAGTGGACTCGATAGCTGGTGTTTTGTTCAAATGGTGTCGACTGAAGAAGGTTAATCCATAAAAGAGGATGTTGAAAGGAAATGAGACGAGGGAATTAAGGAATGTAAGACTGTAATGTATGAGAGAAAAAGGGGCGGCTCCTGGTTGTGACGTCTTCCTTGGAGCTATGGAAAGCGGTTTTTGTTCTACTGAAGATTTGCAATGATATAGTATTTGGTCTAATGTTCTTTTCCTGAAGGCAATAGTATCATCTGAGTCCGTTTTATTCTTCATACTAGGAATAAAGGGTGCTTTAGTTAGAATCGGTTGTGACGCATTGACCTTATTAACAACATCGGCAGGCAACAGAAACCATCTCAAATCATTGGCATCCTGGAAAACTGCACTTGATCCTTGGACATTACTGTATCTGGTGATACCTTTAAACACCTCTTCAGCTTTCTTCAGACATTCCTCCATATCAAGATAGGATTCAACAGGAAACGATTTAGTCCTCACACCACCACTATCAAGTTTAAGATGAGATAACCACCGTCTGTTGTTGAACTGCAGGTTGTTGAGATGGTGCCACTCACCCGTCTCATGATTACACCTATAAAAGGGTAGAAGCTTCCACCCCTGTTCCGCCACCAGCCGAACAGCACGGACCACAAAATCCACAACCTCACAAGGAGTAGTGTAGCTGATAGACAGTCTGGCAACACCCGGTCTGAAGATTTCATGTGAGCTGTACTCTTTGGTTCGCCGCAAATGGTGGCGATCCAAATTGGGGTCTTCGGATAAGAGTTTTAGGTATGCATTGTTAAGGTTTGTGTCGAGCCCCAGGAGCCGTTGAACATATGGCCCAGCGCACAAGCAGCCACCTCGAGTTTGAATGCCAAACAAATCGTTCAGCAAGGTGACCACGTAATTGTGATGAAGGTATAGTCCGTCGTGTTGAATAAGAAAAGAAAACAGCGGGATTTTAGTGTATTCAAGATCGTCTAAAAGTATAAGATTAGGAGTGTCACTAAATCCTGCCCTAACCTTGTCCACGATCTTCTGATTGATAGACATGATAGTTTGAACCCCAACATTAAGTTTAACATAGCAAGCCAGAGCTGCCCTGATTGAGCCTATTATATTAGGAGTCCCCCCTTCCTCCCGTAGCTCCGGAGCTTTAAAATACCTCGTCTCGTCCTCTTTTACATAAAACACAGTTCCTCCGCCACTCACAAAGGGCGTGGAGTTTCTAAAGAGGTTCTTCTTAATTACCAGCACTCCCGGAGTTTCAACTCCGCCCAGGAACTTATGAGGAGAGAAAACAATAACGTCTTTATACGCTCCTTTTATCACCGGGTTCATGTTCATTTCAATGTACGGTGCACCACTAGCATAGTCCACGATGATATGCGCATTGTGGACGTGCAGGATCTGAGCGAGTTTATCTACCTCATACACTGCCCCGGTAACATTGCTAACCCCAGCAAAGCACCCAAACACCACTACCTCCGGATCCACAGCTCGGATCTGCACCAGGATCTGCTCCAGCTGGTCCCCCTTATCTGGGGTATCAGCTAACATGAGCACATTCTTAGTAACGTCCCTCCACGGAGTGTAAAGTGAATGGTGGGTTTCCTCTCCTACTATGAATATGGAGTTCTCCGCGTCTATGATGTGCCGGAGGAGGGAGACTACGCCTGTTGTGCCGTTTCCATGGAATATAACACTGTCTTTGTCGGAGTTAGCGTTAACTGTGTGCCTGATTAATAGGGTATAGTTGAGTTTGGTTGTGTGTCGTACTAGTTAGTTTATCGTAAGTAGTTTATTGTAAAAAAAGGAAAATTGAATTTCAAATAAGATTATTTTTCAAAAACTTTAAAAATAATTATCACAAAAAGCAGATATCAATATGCTGGTAGCAGATGAGATTATGCGGATCATGCAGATTTAAAGATCATTAATCATTATGCACATATTTTCAAAAAACAAATTCACCTTACAATCTGGCGAGCCTCCTCTCGAAACATGCTGATCTGGGTGGCGGTGGTATTGGCCATGGAATGTGTATTGGCATACCACGGCAACACTTCCTAGTAGTAAGTAGTAGTAGTAAACCACCATGTGCCTCAATAAAAATATTACTATCATTTATTATTATATCAATTTATCATTAAATATTTCAACAATATCAATAACGTATATGGTTGATCCTTCACACTTAGTAAAATATATAAAAATAAAGTTAATCTACATTAAAGAATAAATAATCTATATTATATAAATCACCTCATTAATATAGTCGTTTATAAACTTCAACCCTCTACCAGAGGCACTCCAATCGCAATAAACTGAGGAAGAAGTTATATGAAACGTGGTTTGATAGTGGGCCATCACGAACTTTGCCCTCATCTACATTAAATATTGATGGAAGTTTATCAAGATTATAATAATATTGTAGTTCCAGACGTTTGGGATGGGTATTTTATGGGTATATTTATATTATGTACCGACAATCCCACAAGGTATACAATATAATATAATAAATGATAAAGTTAGAAGTTCCGTTCGCTAACCTATTTTTCTTCCGCCAAAGGGACCACGAAAACTCTGATCCTTGCCGATTTCGTTCTGATGAAGATATTCCACAAGATCTGATCCTGTTTTGTTGTCTAGTTTGTTTATTTCTCGGATCTGTTCATCTTTGATATTGTCAGGTATGTCGTAAGACAAGTTTGAGGCATTTCTTAACATTGCTGTGATGTTGAATAAGTTGGATAATGTGCGGCTTATAATATTAATTAGAGGCCGCACCCAAAAATGAAACGAATAGTAGGAATTGTAGTTTTATAGTGAAAAATATAACTTTTTTTATAGTAGGTGGAGACTATCATTTCGTCCTCAGTAATCAAACAAATTAAACAAATACTAGTATTTGAACAACGTTTGGAAGAGAGCTCTTTAGTTTGTCATTTTAATTTGTTCTGATAAGTAAACAGTAAAAAAGAGAAATTACGATTTCAAACTGTACATATTTATATGAAAATCCTTGTTCTTTTGACTAAAAATAATATTAACAACAAAGTAACGAATAGAAAACACTACAATAATAATATACTTATTTAAACACATACAAATTTAACATTAATAATCAAATAAAAAAATTTTTTTTCTCATTTCTTCTCAGACCTTGAAAAATCAAAGATGTTACTTAAATTATGTAAATACTATGATAATAATAATATGACAGTAATATATCAACATTAAATTACTATGTTCACCCGAAAATAATTCCGATAACTAAATGATTTGGTATCACTGATAATATGGATTGTTGGTCACAAAATTAAAATTTGGAAGAACCTTGCCAGCGAGTGCAACCAAAGAATTTCAAAAGAATTACGAAACTATGTACAAGACATCTTACACACTTCACAGTGAGTTACCAATTGATTAATTAGTAAATTAGTTTAATTATCCTAAAGGTAAATCGTTTAAACAAGCTCAATATCCAGCCCTTCCCACCAAATCACTGTAACTATCGAACTGCTCGACGGTCGAAGCTTTAGGCTTTGGTTTGCTAGATTTCAGAAGTTTGGGCTGGGACACTCCAACCAGATCGCAAATCTTGTTCCGTTTAGCTCTTAACTCGTCTATATCCTGGATAAGTTTGAATTTATAGTCAGGTGAAATATCTAACATTCCGGATGTTTCCGTAAAAATAATATAATAATATAAGTTTTAACGATATAATATTATGTAGTTTTTTATATTACAGACCCACGAAAGGGGATACTTACGTTTGGATCTTCCCAAACGGTTTCTTCGAGAATCTGGGAAATTTCTTCCGTATTTGATATGACATCATCAAATGTTACCAGTGCAGTGTAGAACGCATCCGCCATCCCCTTTCTTACTCGCGGGTACCTATGGGAACCGGAGAGTTGAGGGATCCGGGAAATGAACGGGATCTTCAGACTGGGTGCTCAGTAATTTATTTGTTTTTTTAATCGTGAAAGGTGCTGTCAAAATTTCCATAGTGTCTAAATTCGAATATCCGAGTAAATTTGTTCGATGAATTGATAAATTTTAATACGGCACTCACTTAAAAACGTCAAGAATCATTAATAAAAACAATAAAATACCTATGACAAAGCAGGAGCATGATCTGACTGAGAACACACGAGTTATCAGTAAACTGGAGGCAATTAGCCAGAGGGCTCAGAGTCGCGAGCAACTTTCCCACGCTGCCACACCCTTTCAGTTCTAACTTTATTTGGTGGACAAACTTGGCGACAAAACCATTTCCCATCTCATCATCAAGGATCACATTCGTCAGCATTAACTCCGCCTGAGTAAGGAGAATTATCTAGCAACAAGGAACAGGTTTCTTATTACAGCTGAGACAAGAACTTTTAGATTTAAAATAAACAGTGCAGATATTAAGCTGGTAAAATTCCCCCATAAACAATATATACTTTATTTCGAGATAGCAACAAACTATAGAGGGAAATTTTTGAGGGAATCACGGACTCCTGGCGCCTACCGGTGCCCGCGGGGCAGCCATGCCCCTATTTTGTCCAAATTATTTCCAGCAAAATCATATAAATGTGGTACAGGGTTTGGTACAGGGTGTACCACATAAAATGTGACTTTTCTCCACTTTTATAATTCTTGACAAATTGAAACTTCACGGTTATTTTTGACTGAATTTTTCCCCCTAGTTTTGGGAATGTGATTTGGTCCGGCCCGGAGTCCGTGGACCGTGTCCCCTATAGGTTTAGTCGCAGGCCTTACTTATTTTGTCAAATAACTATCTCGAAATCAAGTTTCGCAAAACAATCAGGGTCATCCCCTTTAACCTATAATGAACGAATCTTTAAAGAAAAAAAGAAAATAAACAGCAGCTCAGAAAAAAAGGTACCGTTTTGAAAAGGGGGACCACGACACGATCATTTTTATAATCAGACACCAAGACTCTAATGAGACCATCACAAACACTCTGCAAGTCCTGCTCATGCTCCGTCAGGTAGTCTACAAAAGCTGAGGACGACGCTTTCACCAGGGACTCTGTTAGACCTCCTGAAATGTTGGTAGTAACTGATATTGCGATACCGCGAAATTTAACAGGCTATACATTAAATTATACATAAAATTTGTCGCAAATAATGGGAAAAATCGCGATTCCGTACATGCCGTGATTTCCTTTTGTCCCTGGACTAGTAACTAGTATTGTAATAAATCATGATAATATATGTGTTCGTAAAATTGTTAATTGTTGCAAGGAATTCAAAACTTTCTTATCGCTGTTTATGACCAAATTAGGACAAAATATTTAATTGAACATCGAAGTTCTTAGTTCGAACTAGGACGACAAAATTTGGTCTCTTCAAATTGCAATTTATGTAATTAATTAAACTGAGACTTTATGGGTCGTTTATAGCCGTTTTTTACAATAAACATGACAAAGTTTGTATTAACGTTTTTAATAGATCTTCAAAGCTGATTGTCGAGTATTTTCAAAAAGTACCCTAAATTACTTGTTTATCAGTATGTCTAAGTACGTGCACATCTTGATTGTTATTGCTTTTCTACAAGCACCGTGCTCTTCAACAGACCTCTCAAATATGGTACATATTTTTATTTATATCAACAGTAAAATTCCCAACATTTGATTTTATCAGTGTATTTATTTCGTTAGCTTTAAAGCTTTCAACGACCACTGTTTCGTATCACATGTTGACATGTATACGCATAACGGAAAATCAACATCAAAATATCTACATTTCAGCCACCACCATCAGATATAAAGGAACTAGCAATTGATGATCTAAAAGATCTCTTGATAACTTCTATACAGAATACAATGTCCTTACAAAACTTGGTGACTCAACAGACCCAGATGATCGTCAACATCATGCTTTTGTAAGTTTCGTGTTCGTATTATATAATAATCAATTTATTATTATAATAATTAATATACCTTGCTACTCCCTTAAAAAATAGATGCTGTGTATGGGAAAATTTGCAGTTTTCCAGACACTCATGCCATGCTTTGAATCTTTCAGGGTAGGAGAAACGTCTACCAAAGTGGAAGAGCTGGAAACAACACTGACTCGGGAAATGGAGAACTTGAAAGCAACCATGAACGAGGAAGTTGTTGTCTTGAAATTGAAACTAGAGACATTAGAGGATAGCACTGAAGTGGACAGGCACTCATTGGAGATATTGACTGAATCAGTGCAAGTTCTAAAAACAAACAGGTTAAGAACATGGGCCGGGGGGGCATTTCTTCATTCTTAATTTAATGTTTACATCGTGTAATTTATGGTATAAATTATACATCGCTCCATGATACTGATAGGACTTAAGTTTTATTTAGGGCAAGTCCCGACGTGAGAATGAACTATTAAGCTATTTATAGTACATAATCGACTGCTTTATAGAGGACTCAGGTATGATACTTCAGACTTGAAAAAGTAATGAAGATTATTTTTCAGCTCCAATGTGAAGACCGAAGTGGAAGAGCTGGAAACAACATTGACCCGGGAAATGGAGAACACGAAAGCGAACAAGCGCTCACTGGTGACATTGACTGAATCAGTACAAGCTCTGCAAACAACCAGGTTAAAAACATGGGGGGAGGGGGAGCATTCTTTCATTCTCAATTTAATGTTTACAATATGGTTCATTGTTCCATGAAAGGACTGTTAAAGTTTTTGAAACAAGCCCCCACGAGAGAATGAACTAATATTAATATAAACATGATATTATAAAGCTAATATTATGATTAATTTCAGTTCGAATGTGATGATTTTAAATGGTGAAGAGAGCGCTGGAAATGCCCGATGTGCCAAAGTGTGTGCTGGAACAACTGGTAATTGCACAATTTTATTAGACTTGTTGAACTCCGTAATGTATAACATATAAATTGTCCATATAATCTCAGTTCAATGCTTTACTATATCGCTTTATTAATGGAATTGTTATGTATGTAATTACCATTATCAATACTATATTATATATGGACACGTTCATTTGAGTTTGAGGATATTGGTAAACAAAAATAATAGCGTTTTTGACGATAGTGGCTTAATTTTGACATCTATTAACCTAGCACGTTCAGAAGTTCTGAACATTAGCCACGTAACCCATACTCCCATATGCACTGCTCAGAAAGAAAATCTATTGTTGTTAGGCACTATAATGTTTCAAATGTCACATTTTGTGTGATTTAGTTAACTGCAGTTGTCTAATTATCATTCCTTGGTCTGAAACATAGTAGATTAGGTCAATCTAACAATTATGATACAACATTGGTTAAAGAGCACGGATCGAACGGTTACAAGGCAATATTTAGGTAACTTTGTCACACTCAGAATACCATACCTCTATTCTACTGTGAGGTGTCCTCAAAACCCTTTTTACTCATTATTTGATGGTTGATCTACCAAGTACGGAGTACCAATCATAGCCCTAAAATATGTTGCTTTAAATAGTTAGCTAATACAGGCACTTGGTTATTGGGAAATTAGGTTAATTCTGTCACAATATATGGAATTTAAAATTTTGGGCGAATTATTTATATCTGATTTTGGTTTGAAAGGCGGGAAAACTTTACATGATGACAATGTAGTTGATGCAAGTTAAGATCAGTTGATGTTTACATTGTCACAAAAAATTATACGAAATCGTAAATAGGTTAAAAACAATGATTATATAATGAAATAGTCTCTTATAATAACTCTTATAATAACTGATGTGACAAAGTAAACATGTCTTGCCCCTATTTTGAAGATCGTTATATTCTATAACTCGATTAGAATTCAACATTCTTTCAGAAAAAATTGGTAGAATATTGTCCAGAACATCAAAGCTCAAGTTTAACAATTTTAGGTTAAATTTGTCAAAGTCACTAAAAATGTGATAAAATTAACTTTTCCTACCCCAACAATTTCAAGATAGTGTGTAAAAATTAGCATAGGCTGCTTTATTACCTAAATAAATCAATCCAAACTACAAAAAATTATATTTTAATGTGATGACGATTACCTAACTCTAATAATAACTGATGTGACAAAGTAAACATGTCTTGCCCCTATTTTGAAGATCTATAACTGTATTAGAATTCAACATTCTTTCAGAAACGATTGGTAGAATATTATCCAGAACATCAGAGCTCAACAGGGACAAAAGGATTTCGCGGCATGTACGAAATCGTGAAATTTCCCATTCTCCGCGACAAATTTTATGTATAGTTTAATGTATAGCCTGTTAAATTTCGCGGTACCGCGAAATTTGGCCAAAATAATCGCGAAATCCTTTTGTCCCTGGAGCTCAAGTTTAACAATTTTAGATTAATTTGTCAAAGACACTGAAAATGTGACAAAATTAACTTTTCCTGCCCCAACAATATCAAGATAGTATGTTAAAATTGGCATAGGAATTAGGATGCTTTATTGCCTATATTAATCGATCCATACTATAAAAAGATCGGTTAATCTGATGACGATTACCTAACTCTTATAATAACTGATGTGACAAAGTAAACATGTCTTGCCCCTATTTTGAAGAAGTATACATTATATTAGAATACTATTATGTAACTTTATCATCAAAAAAATTTCGATAAACTAGTTATTTTGCCAGCAAGGAGCTGACAGAGTTATAATAATTTGTTGTGACGAAATTACCCTATTTTTGACCATGTTGCGGTAGTTTAATTGTGACACTGTTAACATATTACCACCCGATAATGATTTATGTGACTGGTGCATGGTACTAGCAGTGTTGTTTGATCCATAGTACGTAATATAAGGGGTTTAAGCTGGTATATCATTATTTGTTCAATTTCACACATGTTCAGATATCATCAAGATTATGTGACAAAGTAAACTTGTCTGTGCCTTCTGTGTTTTAATTCCTTGCGACTTTATGATATAATAACAATTCCTAGCACTTCCAGGCCATTAAATAAACCTACACTACTCAGCATTGCTTATCAGGGTTCCCTAAACATTGTTCACATATTTTCTTAAATGTGTGACAGAGTAAACCTGAGTGCACCATCTAACGAAAAAAGTCGTAAAATATGTAGGTAATGGTAATATGTACCCATCCAATCAACTGGACACTCAAAATTTTGGTCAAAAACGGCAGCAAGGGGTCCATATTTACTCTGTCACATGTTTATAGTGTGACAATGTAACCATTTCCGTGCCGGCCGTATTTAAGCGATATCTTATCACCTGATTAAGATATCGTTATGTGACAAAGTTAGCCTAGAGGATGAAACGATTATAATCCTAACCATCAAGGGTTTGTGTAATTTCATAGTGTGACAAAGTCAACTACACTGTGCCTTTTAATAGGGTCACTTATATTTACCAATATCCTCAAACTTAAATGAACGTGTCCATATATAAATTGCATCAAATTATGATTTTGACTAATACACGTTTTATTCAGGTAGAAGTTCAAGCAGTTATTCAATTAATAGCTCTGTGAGCATCACTATAGATGTAAACATTAGCGGGTGTGGGTTCGTTAAAATACCGACAATAACAACATCAGTAGAGGGACGTGGCGCTCTCTCCACAGCTACAGGTACCTCTGCGGTTTATTATGCAACAAGAACAGGATTCATGATGCACCTCAGTAGGGAATATGTTTCTCATTATGCAACAAGATACAACTGGAATGTTGAATGGATCGCAATAGGCTACACGTGTTAAAAACTATCTCCAAAACATCATCATGGTGGACACGGAGCTAAGAACTATTGCATGGGTTTTTAATCTTAGTGAAGACTGAAGATGTAGTTAGTTAGAACTTAGAAGATGTATCTATATTATATTTTTAATTTTAAACTTGACGAAATCCCCCGGCAACAAAAAAAACACTGAAAATTTACCAAAATTTACCCTTCTTCTTGACCAATTCCAGCTCGCAAATGGAGTTGAAACCTCGCAATTTTTACAAGGGTTATAGAAAAAGGACAGGAATAGGAGACAGCATTCTTAGAATTTTGATTTAGGCTTTAGATTTTGTATAATTAACGTCGGAAGTGAGGTAAAATTAACGTTAGAATAATGGCGTTATTTTAGCAAAGGATACCTGCATCGTTGCTTCAAGAGATTGCACGTGCTCGAGCAAGCACACATTAGCAACGCGCGTTGCCATGCTTTATGATTCGTCATGACTAGTTCACTTTTACGCTCACGCTATGACTATTCATAACTTTGGTTGTGATTGATATCTTTTGATGTGGTAAAAAGTATCGTTTAGGGAATCTGAATACTTACAACGTTGTTGTCATTGTAAAATAAAATCCATGATTTCTAAAGTATAACATAGCTAGCTAGATAAGACGATGAAAAGAAATTAAAACATAACTGATTTATAAAATTTCCTCGAACAAAGCTTTCGACTAGCGGGTTTCTAGTATTGTATAATTTAAAGAAACATTGGTGACTTTTTTATTTTGGTGACTATTTTAATTATCAATTTTGTCAGTGATCAGTTAATATCACGATCAATAATAACTGATCATGACTATCATACATAGCATATACACTTATTTAGCTTATTTTCGTAGCTGCGTTATTATTCATTAGGAAGGCCAGATACTAATTAATAAACGAATGCAGAGGTATTAATTATAAAAATATAGTTAAGTTCTGATGATCGTTTCAAAGTGTTTCGCCAAAAGGTTGTTTCATTTGTCTTATCCTTGGAGATGGTTCTAAATAATTAAATCACTCATGTCTAAAAGTCTAAAAACAACATTGTATTATCGTCTAGCCGTAGCACTGGTGTTCAATGAATGATCCTTTGATGATTATACATGATGTAGTGGTAGAAACATTAAACAACAGTATATGTGGTGCTAGGTATGTAGTGGGAACTTTGTGATCCTGAAGAATTTCCTGAACTGTTGAACCTTGTCCTTCTTCAGATATGTGAGATGGGGTGCCCAAGGAAAAAGGCATCTAGCAAAAGGCGAGGTTCACCGGTTAATACATTGTCTCGCAAGAAACGCAAATTAAAACTTCGGTTGCATTTGGCTGAACAAAATCCAGTCGCTACAACAGCTCACTTGGAGTCACTTAGAAACCAGATTTCGAGTGTGTACGCTGACATGCGAGACGCTATAAACCACGACCTTAACTACCGTGAACAACAGGCGGTAGATAAAGTGCACAGCAATCCAAAATATTTCTACAGCTATGCTAAAAAGTTCTCTAAGCAGAAACGCAGTATTCCAATGCTTTTCAATGAAGCCAAGAGAACTTGCACCAATCCTGAAGAGATTGCTAACATCCTCCAGCGTCAATTCAGCAGTGTATTCAGTGACCCTTCAGCCACCAACATCAATGATGCATTATTTCAGTCACCTTCTCTACAGAAGCCATTCATTGATGACATGTTGGCATTCTCGGTTGCTGATATAATGGAGGCTATTGATGAAATTAAGCCGGGTGCCGCTGCTGGGCCTGATGATCTTCCAGTCCTGCTTCTGAAGAAGTGCAAAGAAGCACTCTCCAAACCTATACACATGATTTGGCAGCATTCTATGTCTACAGGCACAGTGCCGAAGTTCTACAAGACATCAAACATTGCTCCACTTCACAAGAAAGGCAGTCGTGCTATTGCGGGAAACTACAGACCTGTGTCGTTAACTTCTCATGTCATTAAGATCTATGAGCGAGTTCTACGAAAACAGATGGTGGCCCACCTCGAAGAAAACAACCTTCTCAATAGCAAACAGCATGGCTTCCGATCGGGGAAAAGTTGTCTCACTCAGCTGCTTCATCATTTTGATGACATCATCGAGGCGTTATCAAATGGTGACGACATGGACGCTATATACTTGGATTATGCCAAGGCCTTTGATAAAGTAGATCATCAACTTCTTATCAAAAAACTGCAGCTATATGGTTTTCATCCCAAAATCATCATCTGGATCGAGTCATTTCTTACAAATAGAACTCAACAAGTTGTTTTAGATGGTCACATGTCTATCATTGCTCTTATTATGAGTGGTGTCCCCCAAGGAACAGTTTTAGGTCCCATACTGTTTTTAATATTCATTAATGACATTGCTAGCTGCGTGTTGCATTCAACGTTAAGATGTTTCGCTGACGACACAAGAATTTGCAGATCCATCAGTGATTCACATAATGTTACTGAGCTTCAGTCTGATCTTGACAAAGTCACTGAGTGGTCATCAAGAAACAACATGGCACTACATGAGGATAAGTTTGAGTACATATGCCATCTTGCCAACAAACGTAATCCTCTCTATGAGCTTCCTTTTGTCCATGAACAGTTCCAATACAGAACATCAACTGGTACTATACTCAGTCCTGTGGATCAGCTCCGTGATCTCGGTATAACAGTATCCAGTGATACGTCCTGGACATCACACATACGATCTAGTTGTGATAAAGCGAGGAAGATGGCAGCATGGGTATTCAGTGTCTTCCACTCTCGCAATACTGGTGTTATGTTAACACTATACAAGTCACTAGTCCGTAGCCACTTAGAGTATTGCTCTCCTCTGTGGAATCCGGCGAAAGTGTATGAAATTCAGGAGCTTGAAAGTGTACAAAGAACTTTCACTTCAAAGATCCATGGTTTACAGCATCTCCATTATTGGGATCGCCTAAAAACCCTGTCCCTCATGTCACTTCAGAGGCGCAGAGAACGTTACATTGTCATGCACATGTGGAAAATCCTACATGGTTTCACATCCAATGACCTTGAAGTACAGTTCACAGTAAATCCACGATTGGGTACCCTTGCTAAGGTTCCAGCTGTCCGTACAAAAAGCTCAGCTGCTCACCAGACTCTATATGAAACATCATTTGGTGTAATGGGTCCCAGACTCTGGAACTGTATACCTTCGCACATACGTGCAGTCTCCAAACATGATGGCTTCAAGCATCATATGACGGCATTCATGCTTTCCTTGCCGGATAAACCGCCAATCCGGGGCTTCACATCACCGAACTCCAATTCTATACTGGACTGGCGTAACGATCGAGAGGCATCTTCTCTCTGGGGTGGTCAGCAACTCTGATGGCCTGTCGAGTTTCGACGAAGCAGATCAAAGGTATCAAAGGTAAGGTAGTGGTACTATGTAGTGGTAGGTATGTAGTGGTAGGTATGTAATGGTAGGTATGTAGTAGAGGGGTGTAGTGGTAGGTATGTAGTGGTAGGTATGTAGTGGTAGGTATGTAATGGTAGGTATGTAGTGGTAGGTATGTAGTGGTAGGTATGTACTATGTAATGGTAGGTATGTAGTGGTAGATATGTAGTGGTAGGTATGTAGTGATAGGTATGTAGTGGTCGGTATGTACTATGTAGTGGTAGGTATGTAATGGTAGGTATGTAATGGTAGGTATGTAGTAGAGGGATGTACTAGTAATTACCTATTAAACTCACCAATGCTGACGACGAGTATGTAATGGTAGGTATGTAATGGTAGGTATGTAGTAGAGGGATGTACTACTAATTACCTATTAAACTCACCAATGCTGACGACGAGTATGTAATGGTAGGTATGTAGTGGTAGGTATGTAGTGGTAGGTATGTAATGGTAGGTATGTAGTGGTACTATGTAGTGGTAGGTATGTAGTAGGGTTGCCAACCGATATTATCGGCCGATGATTATTGGCGATAATTTCCCAAAAATCGTTATCAATTATCGCGATAATTTTCGAGAATTATCGCGATAAACGACACATTTTTATTAGGGTAAAATGGCCAACATTTAACATATTTTTCGGATCTATTTCTCTGTTTGTAAAGTTAAAACCCAGTGCTAGCATAATTTGCAGTGTGATGGTTTTTTTCCGCATCTAGTATAGTAGGTAACTTGAAGGTTGTATGGTCAGACGAAGTTATTGTTGAAGCACGGAAAGGAACTCACACTGCAACGAGACTAAAAAACCCGTTGGAGCTCGCTGTGCAGTATGTTGGAGAGATATGACCGGATAACTGATGCAGTGCACGGAATTTTAGATGACTTGGAGATAGGCAATCTAAAACTGGATGTAGAAGAGACTGAGTTAGCTCTCGCACCGTTCAAGATTGTAACTGAGTTAAGAGTTTCTGTGTAAAAGAGGAAGCATGCTCGCTCAAGCAGAAGTGATTATTTAGTTCATTGACAGCAAGCTAAGAAGAGATCTGAGATAGACTCGCCACTTTCTCGAACCCTTCTCGATAGGCTACGTACACGATATGCCAAGAGAAAGAACCTTCACTTCGTATCGCTGGTAAAGTTCTACTCGGACCCTGGTATTCTAGATGAAGATGTAGGACAAGAATACTGCTCTACCAGATCAAGTCACTGTTCCCAGATAACTGAATCTCAATATAGGTTCAATCATGGTCTTAGTAAAGAACTACACCCTCAGTAACACATAAACAGACCTATTTTTGATAAGAGCGGCGGTTATACGTTTAGAATTTCCAAAGTCCTCGAGAAAATGCAAAAAAAAACCGCACAATTCCCGCACAAATTTCGAAAAAATCGCCGCACATTTGCCGCATAATTGGTAAAAATTTACCGCACCTTACCGCACATTTTACCTTTATAGTCGGGTGCGGTACCGCATAATTTCGATTTTTTTACCGCACCTAATATGTGCCTCTGACTGAATACAGAATGATCACAAAGTCAACCTTGATACGTAACTCTAAGTCTCTGCACCAGCGGTTGTTTAAGCAGAAAGAGACTAACAGCGATTGAGCTTCGCAAGTAGTTCGACGATTGGTCCTCAGGACTCACAAGCGACTCCCACAATTTCAGATGCCAGATTCCAATCCTATCCCGCTGATAAAAGAATTATCAGACCTACATTAGGGCAGCGATTCGACTACGGTAGCAAGGACAGATACCCTCGCACGATAGGTCTGTTCACAGCTAACAGGCAGCAAACTTTTTAAAATGTTTAGATGCTAGAAGCAATAATTGTCTTTAAGAACATATTTTGTCTATGAAATATGGGCTTGTTACATAAAAGGGCAATATTGCAATTGATTCTTTAAGAAAGCAATCAGCACAAGATGTAACATAGCATAGGAGCATAATGCAAGTATGCAGAGTGCATACAAATATTACTTCAATTATGTTGCCAAATTTATCGCCGATAACCGATATTATCGCGATAATTTTGAAAAAATTATCGATTATCGCGATAAAAAATTGTGTACCGATAATGGCAACCCTAGTATGTAGTGGTAGGTATGTAATGGTAGGTATGTAGTAGAGGGATGTAGTGGTAGGTATGTAGTGGTAGGTATGTAGTAGAGGGATGTAGTGGTAGGTATGTAGTGGTAGGTATGTAGTAGAGGGATGTAGTGGTAGGTATGTAGTGGTAGGTATGTAGTGGTAGGTATGTAGTGGTAAGTATGTAGTGCTAGGTATGTAGTAGAGGGATGTAGTGGTAGGTATGTAGTGGTAGGTATGTAGTGGTAGGTATGTAATGGTAGGTATGTAGTAGAGGGATGTAGTGGTAGGTATGTAATGGTAGGTATGTAGTGGTAGGTATGTAATGGTAGGTATGTAGTAGAGGGATGTAGTAGTAGGTATGTAATGGTAGGTATGTAGTAGAGGTATGTACTACTAATTACCTATTAAACTCACCAATGCTGACGACGAGTATGTAATGGTAGGTATGTAATGGTAGGTATGTAATGGTAGGTATGTAATGGTAGGTATGTAGTGGTAGGTATGTAATGGTAGGTATGTAGTAGAGGGATGTACTACTAATTACCTATTAAACTCACCAATGCTGACGACGAGTCCACGGAGGAAGCTGATGATGTAGTTGGGAGAGGTTAGCAGAGCCATTGAGCGGGGGAAGAGCACGTTAGGGTTGTTATACTCCACATTTTGAAGGAACACCTCGCCTTCGTGCATTGCTACAGCTTCTTTTTCCTTCTCAGTTTTAGGTAGAATCACTGAGGAGGACAGGGTCCTGCAATGTCACAGTGAGTATGCGGAGGGTTATGCATGTTTTCCTTTGTGAACGTGTGGGCCACTTGTTCATTTCATTGTTTAACATAAGTATCCTAGAATTACAACAATCCGATTATGTTAGACCAAGTGCACGATAGTGGACAAATCGACATTTAAACTATTGACAGCTCAAAACATCTTAAAAACCCTCTGGTAGCTCTGTAAGCAAATCACGGCGCAGAAAATATATCATTATATATTATATATTGGTATTAAATAGTAGAAATTTGCAAATGGACAACTTGTATGAATTGAATGAAATTAGAGATATAGCTGCATGCAACAGATGTTGGGAAAATCTTTTTCAAGGGTACAGTTTACCGCATTAAGGTATTTTTAAGAATCATTTTTGTCGGTAAGATCCTGTTTTATAATAATATAATAATAATAATTATATCTCACGGTAGCAGGGGTACAGCAGCACGGAGAGTATCGTGTTCAGTCAACTCCAGCTCACTGTGTACAAGATGATGAAGTGCCTCCATAGCTACCTGCCGGGTCCTGTCTATCTTCTCAACACTCTGCTGCAGGAAGCCGCGCACTAGCTCCAGCTTCAGGTCACGTGTAAATGTCAGATTAACTGGGGGGGCATTATCTGCAGTGCTTTTAGCAACAATTTTTAGCTAAAATTATTAGCCAATTAATTATAATTATTAGATACAATTATAATTATTAGCTACAACAATACCTAAACAATAAACATGTTATTATCTGCTTTACTTTAGATACACTGCAATTTTACACTTAATCACCATGTTGAGTGTAACAGTTAATTATAGTTATAATGTAAATTTTAATGACTATAAATGGCAATTAGCGATAACAGTAATAATGCCAATTATCAAGCTTCTAAAAATTAATATGCCTACTTGTGGGATGTCCTTTAGACAAGATGAATTGGTTACACTTCATTAAGCACGTCATAGCCGCCTCCCTAACGTAGCTCCCGATATCACCTCTACTGTCAGTACTGTAATCTTCTAAACATTCCAACAACACTGCATAGATCCGCGCGCGCGTCTCCGAGTTGCACTGACACACCAACTGAACATTAGTTATTGCTTTTACTGCGCTAACCCTGCATTCTGCTAAACTTGTCTCTGATTTGCTCTGCACCTTGGTGCACGGAGGGAGGAGGTTAAGAAGAACCATGGTGTCCTGGTTCAACACACACCCCGGGAGGACACTCAAAGCCAGCGCTGAGCCAACCCGCGTCGCGGTGAACTCGTGCCGGATGTGGCTGGTATAGTGTTCTACTATTCCAGACCACACTTCCGGGTTAGACTCAGTGTAGTACTGGTAGGAGAAACCACGGAGAGCCCCAACTGACATGGCTTGTACACCAACAAACTGTTCTGGGTTCACAATGCACACATCTAAAAATTCCTGCCATGCTTTTATTGTCTTGCCGGTCAGCGCGACTCCAGCGTTAGATATTTTCTCGATAAAGTAGCACACTGCTCCCCGCATTTCATCCCCCCCAGATCCCCTGAACGACCCTCTAGTGTCCAACACAGTCAGTGTGTTGTTTATCTTATCTACTAGATCTACTGATATGTGATCTCGGTTTTTGAGTCCAACACAGATGTCCCCGATGGCGTGAAGGGCACCGTGCCGACAGTTGAAGTCTCCTGTTTCTAAGGACTCAAGGAGAAGGGGGAGGACGTTGGAGTAGATGTAGTCCGGGAGAATGGAACAGAGGAGACCTAATGCGACACTTGCGTCTTTTCTTATAGTCCTGCAGGTCAAACAAGGCTTTAAATAAAAGAGCTGAATGTAACTGTTTAGTGTTTAAAATTGAACAAACTCAAATGCCAATAATCATAACTGCAACGCAGAATTTCATAATTTGTACTTTAAATAATTATTGTAGAATAATTCATGTACAACTGAGATTCTACTAAAATCAGGTGTGATAATTTTTGTCATATAATGCCTTTTAAAATAACTTACAATAACTTAATCAATCACTTACAATAACTTACAATAACTTAATCAATCACTTACAATAACTTACAATAACTTAATCAATCACTTACAATAACTTAATCAATCACTTACAATAACTTACAATAACTTAATCAATCACTTAATTAATAACTTAATTAATCACTTAATTAATCACTTACGGGCACCAATGCCGAACTTTAACCTCCGCCAAATGGTCAATAACAGGTTTACTATAGGGTTCAAAGGACGCTACTTTGACTGACAGTTTCTGGTAAGTATTGGACTGCAATGCCACTGCGTAGTAGTCACATGTGGTCACGAGATCAATACCATGTGGAAATGAACCTTGTCGTCCAACGTTTTCCTGGAATGCAGCGGACGCTGCACGACGACAACCACAGTGCCTGCAGGAATAAGTGATGAAGTGGAGGAAACAAATGGTTTATGGTTGAATTTATTACATTGCTGCGTTAGCCTAATAAAGGTAAATCCTTATAAGGCTTGAAAATAAAGCCTAATTTCGGATGCTTGCAAACTTTCAAACAAATCCTCAACTTATCACACAATCTTACTTGCTGAGAAGCAGCGGTACAGCAGCAGTACAGAACTCAAACTCTATTTCATTTTAAACTGTACCTGTCGAACAGTGTAGCGAGGATAAGGGAGCTGGCTATAGTGTGGACGAAAGGTGCAATCTGGGCAGGCTCGTAGGTCCGAGCAAAGGACCAACAGAGGTAGCAGGCTGCATCACGGACATTGGCCCCTGTAGAGGAGATCATATTATTTATTTTGTCTGCCAACATACCCAATGTTTCTAACATGCCAGGTATTTTGTGAGCTTTTGTTGATTAAATATCGAGAATTCAGCGCCCAACAAATAAACCTGATCATATTTAACACCCTACGCGCGTGGGGTGGACTCCTGGGGTGGACTTTTATTCAGCGCGTATTTTGTAGCCTGTTCAACTTGACGTTTTGATTCGTTACTATCTCAATGTCACAGATACACAGAATGTGAGGTGATCATCTTAAAGAGAAACGTCTCAGCTTTCACCTGGTGTAAAGTTTATCTTTGTACTCAAAATATAGCTCGCTCAGTGTGCAATAGAAGTTGACAATACAATAACCACGTCTGCGACCGGTCGTCAGATACCGGAGTGTTGCACAAAATTGGGTCCCTAAATTAAAATTCTATGACACAGTTACCATGCAGAAATGTCTAGGGAAACATTTGGTGAAAGTTTCAACTCTCTACTATAAAAATAGCGATAGTTATTGAAGATAAACCGTGAGAAACTCCCTCTTGTCGAGATCAACGCTCTAGGAACCTCCCTTCTGTACCACGTGACAACGATTTGAGCGTCACGTGGCCGTCACGTGACAAAAGTGCGCGCATCGGATGGAGCAGTCTCGTGGGAAATCCTGATTGCCTGATCGATCTCGTGGGAAATCCTGATTGCTACGGAAAGGGCTGACAACCACAGTTATTTCCCTTCCTCAATTTTCCAGTTCACTTGCTCAGTGCTGTCAGTTGTTTTTTGTTTGCCCTGCTATATAAACTTCACTCCGTCATAATCCCCTACTCCCCTATCCAATGAACTGTTTCTGTTACAGCTGCCATTCTGTTGACTGGACCCTAACTTAGTCTTATCATTTTCACTTGATAACTTTATCCGTGTGCACTTTCTCGAAACTCAACTTATCTTTGTCAAGACTCAGCTAATCTCAGAACTAAATGTTGCCTTAACAGACTTACTTGTCACTGCACTGGGCCCTCCTTTAAATGCAAATATCATATGAGCAGCTGATCGATTTATTGCTTGCACTGTGCATCCTTTTTAAAAATAAATAAGGTCAATTTTACTATCGTGAAACTTAGTCACTGAAGACAACGCAATCTGGCTGTGCCGGTTCCCCTCTGCCTAGATCACTTAGAATATCCATAGTTAGCAATACTTTTATCGTTTAATGCAGCGATATAGCCAGTTATCAATGCTACATAGTAGATTTTAGCCTGTTCCAATCATCCTTATATCGCGTTAATGGAATTTATGAAATTGCCTACCGTTCAAATCGCTCTCTGTTGTTAGCACCACACTGATTAACTACGATGTTCCAATTTTTTAGAATTATGTCCGACATAATTCTAATTTTTGCAGTTACAGCAGATAGTTATAGTGTAATGGCACGCAGGAATAAGTCATCCCTGTCCTCCAAAAAGCCCATGAAAAGGTATTTGGTAAGCTATGTCTTTTCCAATATCAAATCCAATGTATCACAATCTGTGGACTTTCTACTCAAAAACTAGATTGATTAATTGATAATTCATTGCTGATTGTTCACGCGCCCTGTATGGAAGTATATAAATGGTAATCCGCATACTCCAGGAAGAATTGAAGCAATCTCAAAAGAAAAGAAGGGAATCTGGATCCTTCGTCGGATCGTCAAAGAGCTTAGAGGGGAGCTCTACGCTTCACTGGCCATGCAAAGCAGGGAGAGTGACGGAGGCGGAGGCACTGCTGGCTGCTGGAACGGACATTAACAAGCTGGACAGAACGCAGTTTAACCCTTTCATGGACGCGATCAACTCAGGTAAATCATTCGACCGCCTTAACAATATGGGTTTATTGGTAATAGTAGCAAGAGGTTTTAGTCATGCGTTTGATTACAGCACAGTGTGAAACCCTGAAGCATACGTCGAGCTCTAAACTCTGTTTTGTCTAATAATCAATTATTTGAATATTGAAGGATTAAATTTGGTAACTTGATGATCACACAATTAACAGGACAGGTCGACTGTGCTAGATGGCTGCTGAGGCAAGACGGTTTAAAGCTTCAGACCGAGATATGGTCGTTTTGTAGGGAGAGGGTGCTAGAGTCATTGCTAACAGCTTAACAGAAGGTAAAATCCTGAACTTTTGTTCATTGATTAAAAATCACCATTCAGACATACAATCGTTCAGATGTAAAAATTATTTATTCACTATTTTGGATTACATTTAGTTACAGGACTAACATGCGACATCCGTCGTTGACCTTTGTCTTTAATTCAACAAGGTAGGGAGAGCGATCCATGGCTGTCCCGATAGACCCACTCAGACTCCTGCCGGAAGATACTCCTCCGGTTGATCCAGATGAGACAGTTCTAGCAGATGATCAGTTACAGACTGAAGAACATATCCCACAGATCAATGCGTCAACATCTGCAAATGAAGGTACTTCAATCTGCTCTTCTTGTATATGTCTTTGTGCCTGCGTCTGTGATTGTACTGAAGTGTACTCTGTGTGTTTGTGTCTGTGTCTGTCTTTGTATCGTGTGTGTGTCTCTGATTGTACTGCGTGTGTCTGTAATTGTAATGTAGTGCACTGAAGTGAACTATGTGTGTTTATGTGTGTGTGTCTGTGTGTACTGTGTGTGTCTGTGTGTACTGTGTCTGTCTGTGTGTCCGTCTGTGTCTGTGTGTGTCTGTGTTTATGCCTGTGTCTGTGTGTCTATGTCTGTATGTGTTTGTGGGTTGTGTGTCTGTGTGTCCTTGTCTGTGTGTAACTGTGTCTGTCTGTGTGTCTGTCTGTGTGTCCGTCTGTGTCTGTGTTTATGCCTGTATGCCTGTATGTCTGTGTATCTGTGTGTGTGTGTCTATGTCTGTATGTGTTTGTGGGTGTGTGTATCTGTCTGTGTGTGTGTGTGTGTGTGTGTGTGTTCTTTCATAGAAGTTGTTATTTCCAAGATACGAAGTTCGAAAAGCTAGCATTTAGTAATAGACGAATTTTGCAGCTGATATCAGAATCGACATGATGATGGTACTACACGAGATGCTCATGGAAAAGGTCTCCGTTTGCTTTCCTCCTCCCACGAGCAGTACAAAGTGTGGGTTCAACTTTAATCTGATAGAAGATATCGTATGCGGAACCCAAGCCCGGCCATGTCTGTACATAATAACGAAAGAAACCGGTAAGTTTCTAATCATGTAAATGTTCGGGCCGAACGTTTGCATTCATTTTAGACTAGTGACGAAAATCAACAATCGTTTGCCAGTTTGGTTTGCAAAATCGACAAAAAATAGTCCATTCCCCATGGCCATGATATTAGAATTCTGCCCGTTGAAATCGGCCACTCTGATTTTTATCATTGAACTTCACATTGATGACATGTTCATTCTCTACAGGTTATGCTGGCAGGAGGGCGTTTACCTCGATAGATGTTGAAAATGCCCACAGCATTATAAATCATTTTGGACCGCCGAGGGGTCCAAAACTCCTCAATCGAAGAGCTTAGTAGACATGCCAGCAACCTACAGACTTCAAATTCTCAGGAAACCTCTCTAGGACGGTAATACATTAACTTGTTTAGTTAATAAATTTAATAAGTAGATTTTGAGTGATGATTACTGAATACAGATATCGAGCCTCGAGGTACCATAAAAAGGGTATATAAACTTATCACTTATGCTTATATGCTTATACTATCAATGAATATCAAATCGCCTTCTCTAGTTATCAAACCCAACATAAGTTAAATCTCTGCCTACAAGGACTATTTGATATTTACAACAGACCGAGTGAATGTCTCAATCTTTTCAGGAAGCTTATACTCCGACATCCACAATTTACCACGCCCCTGAGATTGACAAAGGTCTTTCTGATAGATTGACTTCCAGCCAATTCGATCTATCGAAGCCGAGTGGGAAGAACAAAGAACTGAAACCCCATGGTCGCAACGATGCTCCTCGCGGACAAGGGAGAGTTAGGGCCATCGGTGGTCACAAGACTGGATAATATTTATTTTTAAGCGTTGAGGTTGTCACGAAAGCGTACTGTAACGGGACTATCAGATTTGAGTGATTTGATTTTGTGATTTGCAGTTCACGTGATTTTATTGTGATTTTAGACTGTAAAAACTATAAAGGTTCAAGTTGAACTATCGTCGCCATGATTATGTATTTTGGAACTGTTCACGTTGAAATTGCTTCGTTAATCAGCAGTCCTTCCTTGGTTACTTTCTACTGTGTAATGCAGCTACGATCAACGATACTTAGCTAGTACATTCATAGTAACACTAACTGCACTGAGAAGAGTAAAAAATTTGAGCTTTGACGGAATAACATTTCCTTGTTTTTAGATACGGTTACTACTCTAGTGAGGGGTTCATAGCTGATCATTAAGGTCTTACTCACAATAATTTGTGCTCTGATATTGGCCGTACTGACGGCTGTTGAAAAAGCCACTCCGTCAGATGCGCGCCGCAAGAGTCCACCCCTGTAGACCCCACTACGTACAAAATTTGAAATTTTCCCAAAAACTTCTGATTAAGCTAGTTTGTTTTCAATAACTTTTGCAATATTTACAGTAGACCCTTCAAATTTTCACCAAATGTTACTCCAGACATTTCTGCATGGTAACTGTGTCATAGAATTTTAATTTAGGGACCCAATTTTGTGCAACACTCCGGTATCTGACGACCGGTCGCAGACGTGGTTATTGTATTGTCAACTTCTATTGCACACTGAGCGAGCTATATTTTGAGTACAAAGATAAACTTTACACCAGGTGAAAGCTGAGACGTTTCTCTTTAAGATGATCACCTCACATTCTGTGTATCTGTGACATTGAGATAGTAACGAATCAAAACGTCAAGTTGAACAGGCTACAAAATACGCGCTGAATAAAAGTCCACCCCAGGAGTCCACCCCACGCGCGTAGGGTGTTTAATCTTGTGTAGAAAATTATTCAAAATTCAATCACAGGCCATGAAGGAGATAAATAAAACGAGTTAACGAACTATTGATAAGTAATTACATTAATTATAGATAATAATTACCAATGATAAGATTGCCGCGTTTTTCATCATACTGAAGAGCTTTGACCAAGATAGGAACAACTTCTGGCAAATGGTCAGGTAAGAGGAATCCGTGTCTACCTAACTCTGCTAGTGCCAAACAACCTGGACAGTTATAAATAAATGAATAAATTTTAACATTTATTACACGCTTCGACATTAAAATATACCCAACAAAGATGTATATTTAAGTCATTCAAGCGAGACTTTGTGTTGAAATACCAATTTTACCTTTAGGATACAACATATTGGCAAATATTTAAATATAGCACAATTTTATAGAACATTTCACATTTCATAGGCGTCTCTGTGGTAATTAATTATACAATTGTTTCCTGTTTAAGTGACATCACGCTCCAGTGTAAACTGATAAATCAGGGTACACTGGAGCATAACAATAAAGCAAACATACTGGTGGCAGTGATAACTAAATCAGGGTACACTGGAGCATAACACTAAAACAAACATACTGGTGGCAGTGATAACTAACTTTATACAATATCCTAATTATACTTAATAGTTAGCTAATTAGTTACACTCCTTGATAGTTATCTTGATCTAGTATCTAGCAGTGATTTAAACTAACTTGATACGATATCTTATTGTTAAATCAGGGTACACTGGAGCATAACACTAAAGCAAACTTACTGGTGGCAGTGATAACTAACTTTATACAATATCCTAATTATACTTAATAGTTAGCTAATTAGTTATGATTCATAACCAGGTTTTTAATGAGTTTGAAAAGTTATAATTTTGATATTTCTTCATAACTTATGAAGAAATATCAAAATTATAACTTCTCAAACTCATTAAAAACCTCCATGCCAAGAAGAGGCAGTTTCCAGCGGGGAGAAACAGTCTAAAAGCTGGTTAACAATGTCTGTAGCTAAGGAACGAGGCAGTCTGGCAGTGATCCGTCCTACTCCCTTTGCTGCAGACCATCTGACTATAGTCTCCGGATCTCGGAGTCCTGAACGATAACCATTACTAGGGTAGCAGAGTGTAGTTGAGTGTGCACTTCGATGTCCACAATTTTTGACCACACAGGGTCTTTCATTAGGTCATTTGTGACCTAATGAAAGACCCTGTACATTTGTGACCTATGTACATAGGTCACAAATTATGGAGAAATAGTGGAAAAGTGAGGAACCGGAAATATATGGTAGAATTTAAGATACTTTGTTATTCTTAGAATATTGACGTGAACAAATGAAGCAACGATCGACTTTTTAAATTAAGTTCTTCAAACGATAAATTAAACTTCAAGTAGGGATTTATATAAAAGCTAGAGCTGTACTGCAACCAACCTCTGAAAAGAACCTCCAGAACTTCTTCGATCTCATCAGGAATCTCATACCCCTCCTCGTCCTCGTCCTCATTCTCAGGATCTTTAACATCCTCAACTTTCTTTTGAATCTCTTTCTCTTTCTCTTTCTCTTTCTCATCACGGGCCCTTGCCAAGAGAGTCAGCTAAGATCGGGTACCGCGAGAAATAACGCCACTTAGCAACTCCGGGGCTAAGAAGGAGATGCCTGGAGAGAATTAATAAGTTGAACTCACTTCGACCCATATTGAATAGATACTATTTGAGGTAGATCAAGTTGCCAAAATAAAACAAAACGTTGCATCACCACCACGCACTCTGTAACAACCGGGGAGGGGGGGGATCAGGTACCAAGTGCCGGACTTCCCCGTTGGTGGGTGGGTAATTTTTTCTCCCAAAAACACAGTTAGTACATTTGGGACTAACTGGTGGGTCACTGGGCCCCTTTTTCCAGAAAAACAGTTAGTACATGGTACTAAAGGGGGTTCTAACCCCAAAAAAAACCCAAATTTTTCCTCAAATTTCAATTTTGGGAATGGGTTTTGAGGTTTTTTTAAAGTTTTTTTTGGTTTTTTTTAATTTTAAAATTTTGTAAAGTCTTTCCTTTAAAGTTTAAATGATCTCTTTAAAAAAAAGCAATTTACTGGGAGGGTATCTTATTCTATATATCAAAAACAGTTAGTACCACCGATTTTTCGACAGTTAGTACCGCAAAAGGCGGCAAAAGGGGTGGGTGGTCTTACGTGTATTATCCAAAAAAAACAGTTAGTACCGCAAAGGGGGTGGGTGTGTCTAGTGAAAAATATCCAAAACTACACTTATCGACGTGAAAGACTCCCCCCCCCCCCCCCCCCCCCCCCCCCCCCCCCCCCCCCCCGGAACAACACACAAAACCACTCCGTTAAACAACAACTAACCCCAAATCCTTTGGGGGCAAGTTTTATCTCAAATTTCCCTCGGGCGGGGTTTTCTGGTTGAGTCCCAGAGACAAACTCCCGGGTTGGTTGCAGCACGTATTTGTGAGGGGGAATTTAAAAAAGGTCCCTCCCGGGCCCAACTTGTATACCCGGGACAAAAGGGCAGTCAGCTTTTCCCCAGCTTTTTTTTGAACCCGGGTTTAAATTATGTAAGGGGAGGGGATTTTTTAGGGGATAAGAAGAGATAAAAAAGAAAAGGGGCGACGTATTTGTTACCCCTCCATATTGCGGGTGGTTGTTTCCCGATAAAAAGCGAAATGCAGCGAAAAATCCTAAATATTGTAAAATTTTCCGGGAGAAATTTTGAAAAATAACAAAAATTTAAATATTGATAAATAAATTTTTTTTATTAAAGTTTCAAGAGGGCTAGTAAAAAATCCCCCAACATAGGGAAAACAAACTGAGCAAAAAACCCCAACTTCCCAAAACCCGGGCAAAATTTTTCGGGCACCTTTGGGCGGGTCAAAATTGGGGGCTAAATTTTATCGTTGGCTTCAGATGTTGAGTAGGGGATGCGGGTCGGTCCCCAAAATTTTGAAACCCACCAGCGCTGGGGGCTGGGCTCACTTGCCGCTCCTTCCCAAAACGTTTCCGGGAAAATTAAAAAATGGTGAGATGTTTTTAAATTTAAAACAAATATACTATATAAATAAATAAATAAACCCCAAACATTTAAAATCGCCTTTCGAAAATTTAAAATATACCCAACAAAGATGTACTTTTTAAGTCATTAAAGGGCGAGACTTTTGTTAAAATTTACCAAGATTAGGATTTTTTATCATTTTCCAATTTTAAACCCAAAATTTTGGGTATGAAGCCCCCAAAATTATGCATTTTCATATAAATTTCGGGACTTTATGGACAAAAAATTAGAAATTTTTATCAAAAGCTAGGTGGAAATAAAACGTTTTTAGCCATTTTTAAAACTTTTACAGTTTAAAAATTTTATCTAAACTGATTGGGGGATTTTTCTTTTCCAAATTTTGTCCACAAAACAAAAATCCCGGCTCCGTTCGCTAAAATAAAGGGGGCAGGGGGAACTTTAAACAAATAAAAGTCATCATCAAGTCTGGAACTTTGTCTTCGAAATACCCTTATTGTGTGTCCTTGTAATTCCTGAGGGGCTATTTTAATTAAGAAACCCCTTAAAAGACCAGAAATGAAATTTGAATTTGTTTTCTAAAACCGAACAGGAAAAAAAGGGGGGGCTTTTGAGGTAAGGCATAAATAGGTTCCCTATCTTTTTTTCCAAAAGGGACCAAAGAAAAAATCTGGGGCAGGCATTTTTCCCGTATCTTTTGTAGTTTATGGAAAACCCTTTTCTGTTAAAACCATAATAACTTTTTTGCAGTAGTCATGAAACAGAGAATTTTGGGAGTGAACTAACTAACTTTTAGTTCATGGAAAGCTTTAAAAACCGATTTTTTAAATAATTTCCCCTTTGATTCAAATCCCCATATTTGGGAAAGAAAGCATTTTTTTTGAGGGGTCCAGTTTAAATTTGGTGATCGAAAGGGAAGCCCGGGTTTCTTGGCCTTGTAACAGGCCCAATGAAAAGGTCTCCTAAATCCATTTTTCTGGATTGGGGCTCCTAGGTCCTATATCAATGAATTCCCTTTTTTTTTCATCATTCATTTTGGGGGAATTTAACTGTCATCCATTGCTTTTCTCCAAAACCCAATTTTTAAACCAGCTTTTAAAATAAAGGATTAAAACGGGTAAACATCGAAAGTAAATACACCTGGTTTTCCATCGGGCAAAACAAAGGTATCGAGAAACCCATATTTTGTGACTTTTTCCTCAAGATCTCTGGAAAACCCAAAAATGAACGGGTTAGTGGCCCCCAAAAATGGGATCCTTAAAGGTTTCACCAATATCCAATGCACAGAAAAATTGGCTATAAATAAACTAAAAATTTACTTAAAAAACTTAAACCCCCAAAGTTTTTTAAAATCATAATGATCATTTTTTTATTTTAAAAAAAAGCTAAATGTGAAAAAAAAAAACTCCCTTTTTTGTAATTGTAAACACAAAATTTATCTTTATTAAGAAGTAAAGCTCCCTAATTTAGAAAGAAAAATACTGGAGGGGAATTTGAACTTACGGGGGGCAATTTTAAAGCATACGCCTAAAAACTCCTTTCCTTTTCCCTCCCTCCCCCCCACCCCCAGCCTCTTCAAATCAAACAATGGGGCCCCAAAAAATACTGGCCCGGAACAGCACAAACTTTGCAGGCCAAAATCACTTTTTCCCCTGTTTCCAACAGGCTCAGAACTGATTTCAAAATCCCCCAATTTCGTGAGGAAGCAATCTCACTATATACTTCTTCCCAAACTTTCGTTAACAATAAAGTTTTTAAAGGGCCCAAATTTAAAAGGGGCCTTTGGGACCCCTTTTTGGGATACCCCTACAACGATTAACTTGTCTATCCATCCCGGGGGAAGTTGGGGTCCAGAAAAAAGGGCGCCCCCTGGTAAAATTTATGATTTCTGTTATTTTTCGGGGCAGCCCGTTCGGGGGGTAGATTTCGAATTCCTTGCCTTTTCCCACAAGTTGGCAATGTTTTTGGGCCCTTGTCTTTTGTTTCTTGTGGATCGACCCATGACATTTTGTTGCGCTTTGAGTACCCACATTTGGGGATCTTGTACCTAGCGGGGAAATTTGTGTGATAGTGTTTATTCCTTGGAAAGTTATTTTTAAAACCAAAGGGTTAAACTAGAAATTCTTAAAATATTCTTGTGATTTTTTTTGGCCTCGTAAAACCCGGGCTTGACCACTTTAAATGGGTAATTACATGAACCAATGATGGACAAGGTTGGGTTTCGATAAAAGAAAAAAAATTACTCACAACAAGAAAAAAAACCACAAAAATAAAATTCGTTCATTTAATCAGTGGAAATGATACATTTGGTTAAAACGTCCCCACCCCCGGAAACTATCCCGCCCTTATTGCACCCCCTTTTTTTAAATCACATCCCCCTCTCTTAACGGGGACCCCCTTTTTAAAAACGCGATAAGCCCGGGGCACTAAAATCACCTTCTAAAACACAGGGGCCCCATTTTCAAGTAGTTTAAATTTGTTGTAACCATTGAGTGGTTTCACTTTCCAAGGCGGGGTGTCCCAAAACATTGAAATTTCTCCATAAAAAAAAAGCAGGAAAAATTTTGGTACGACAAAAGGGCAGTTAACTTTGAGGAAAACCCTATTTGGATTTGGGAAAGGGCCCTGGAAAACCCAAGTTCAGGGGTTTTTAAAACGGTTTTGGGGCAAGTCGGGTTTTTTAAATACCCCAAAAATTATCTAAAAAGAAAATATCTTTTTTCAACACCTCAACAACGGGGGGGGGGGGGGGGCCTTTTTCTTTGTAAAGATGGGGGAAACAACACGTTCTTTTTGAACCCTTTAAGACATCTTTCCAGAAGTGAAACCTGTGCTGATAACTCACCCTAAATCACTTACGGGCTGACACAAACATAACGCCCCTTTTTGGGAAAGGGACCAAACCGCCCTTTTTAAAAAGATATTTGTCCCTTTGGGTGTTAGACACGGTCTAAAAAGCATTAAAACAAAAAAAACCGAAACCCCCCTTTTTCGATATAGAATGTCAAATTTTTTTTGTCCACCTCAATTTCTTCAATTTTTCCCCTTTAAAAACCCAATCTTAGAAGAAAAAGTTTTTAAATCTAATAACGCTCCGGGCCTTTGGGCCACGATTTTAAGTTTAAACGGGCCAAAAAAACCCCTTTGGCTCCCCCCTGGGAAACAGAACATTGATAAATACCTGTGCCACAGCCCACTTCAAAAACTTCCTTGTCCCCTGAAGATACCCTTGGGTTCTTGTAAAATTTATCTCTTAAGCCCTTTTTCGTACTTTTTTCCGCTGCTTTCCGCGGGATTGGGGTAATTTTCGGGGCGTGGGTCCTCAAAATGGGGGGTCCTTTGGGCAGGCCCAAAGTTGGGGCTTTGGGTTTTAAACAGTTTTCTCGGGGGAATTTCCATGTGGGGCCTTTTGGGAAATTTGCCTCTAATTTAAACTTGAAAAATTCAACCTTCCCATTGTTTAAATTCCCCAAATTTGCCTTCTTTTTCTTTTAACCATTCCTGCCCCAACTTTAAAAGTTTGGGGCTTGTAAAAAGGCTTCAAAATCAACTCCAAAAAAATCATCAT